CCAAGAATGGTGCTCGCTCCATGGCCGCACTAGGATTTCTTATTAGGTTTTGTCAAGTGCCGGCTACAAATACAAGAAATGTTACCTCTATTCATAGTGTAGACAATTAGGGTTATAAGAAAAAAGTCCTAACGGCCTATACATATGGCCCAATATTCCGTAAACCTTGTACTACGGCCTATATTTATATTAGTCTCCTCAACCTAACAATCTCCTTTTTGGAGACCGATCTCTAAAATAACACCAAACCTCTTATAACTCGTCTATTTTTCTCAACCAACTTTAAGTCTTTGTAGTGCAATGTCTTCTCATCACTAATCATAAAGGCCAACCGAGGCAATGTAAAGCTTCAGTTTATCAATGGTAACTACCTTGGTCAATATATTAGATGGATTTTCCAATCCAAGAATCTTTTTCAAATATATTATCTTATCATTCAATAACTATCGGATATAATGACATTTCAACTAAATATGTGTAGTTCTTGCATGAAAGACTAGATTCTCGATAAAATGAATTGCACTCTAACCGTCATTAAAAATCTCATTGTCATCTTGAGTTTTACCAATTTTCTTTAGGAAGTTGTTCAACCAAACCATTTCTTTATCGACTTCGAAATAACCATATACTCGGCTTCGATAGAGGAAAAAGCAACACACTTTTGAAGTTGAGAAAACATAACCTGTTATACTATTTTTATTATCCAGATCACTACTTAAATCTACACCAACAAACCCTTGTACAACAATATTATTCTTCTTAAAACAAAGGGTCATACCTAGAGTTTCTTTCGGATTATGAAGAATCCACTTTATTCCTTCATAATACTTCTTTCTCATATTTTTCATGTACCTACCGACAACTCCTAGTATATAAGCTATATCAAGTCTTACAACCTATAACATACATTAAGCTTCCAACTTGTCGATGTATAAGGAATTGTAAAATTTTTTTTTTTTTTTACTCTTCAATTGTTTTTTTATGATTGCTCCTTTGAAAGCCTCGAGGTGGCTTCCCAAAGAAGTGTTTCGATCTTCTCATCCCGAAGGTTAAATCTAATCAAGCACTTTTTGAATGTATTTTTCTTAAGATAAATTTAATGTACTTTTTTGACCTATCTTTATTTATTCTCATTCTAAGTATCTATTTTATAGGTCCCAAGTTCTTCATCTCAAACTTGTTTTGCTAAACGTTGCTTAAGCTTATTGATCTCTTGCAAATTAGATCCTACAATAAGCATATCATCAACATATAAAAGCATAATAAGATAACACTCATAAACCCTTGATATAACGAGCAGTAATCCATCTCCCATCTCTCGAAACCATTATCACACATGAACCCATTAAACTTCTTATACCATGCCTAAGAGATTGTTTCAAACCATATTGATTTTTTTATAACTCATACATAAGCTTTTCCTTCTTTGAAACTCGCAAAGCTTTTTGGTTATACCGGATGGATGTCTTCCTTAAGGTCATCATGTAGAAAAGTAGTTTTAATCTAATTGCTGTAGATGTAAATTTTCTACAGCAATAATACTCAACACTAGCCTAATAGTAGTCATTTTGACAACAAGAGAGAAAATCTCGATGTAGTTAATTCCTTCTTTCTATTAAAATCCCTTTACAACTAGTCTTGCCTTGTATCTATTACAAATATCATGCTTTTCTTTGACCTTGTACACCCACTTATTGTGTATAGCCTTTTTCTTTTCTAGTAATATTGTTAAAATCCATGTCTAAATCTACTCAAAAGACCTCATCTCTTCTTCCATGGCCGACTCCCACTTGACATAATCTTTTGTATGCATTACTTTACTAACGAATTCTAATTCTTAAGCATCAGTAAGAAGTAAATAGTTTAAAGAAAGTGAATACCTTTGAGTGGATCTAGACACTCTGTCGGATCTTTTTAGCCGAGGAGTAGAAGTTACTTGTTCCGGTTCAGCTTCGAGCTTCTTCATCTCTCGTCATTTGAATTCCGAATCCCGAATATATCATCCACTAAAATCTCTTCCAAATCAGTTTTCTCACTTATTTTTTATTGGTTTCCTATACCATTAGAATATGTACCAAGCTTTTCCTTATACAATATATTTTCATTAAAGATCGCATCCCTATGCCTTATGATCTTTTTATTCTAATCATCTCAAGATCGCTAACCAAAATTGTCAAAATGATAACTAATGAAGTAACACTTTCTAACCTCGGGATCAAGCTCATCTCTATCATTAGTTGCTACATGCACATATGAAACACAACCAAAGATTCTCAAGTGTGAGAAATTTACCTCATTTCCTAATCATACTTCCTTAGCTAATTTAAAGCCTAATGAAATTGAAGGTCCTCTATTTATGAGGTAAGGTCCTCTATTTATGAGGTAAGTTGTTGTATTTGCTGCATCAGCCTAGATACTTTAAGCAAACTATAATACAATCTCATGCTTCTTGTTCACTCATTCAAAGCTCTATTCGTCATTTCAACAATACCATTTTCCTCTAGTATCATAGGAACTACCTTAATCATTTTAATCCATTGTTTGAACAATAATTTTTGAATTCTATGCTAATATACTCTCCTCTATTATTCGACTTCGAGGCTTTAATCTTCAAACTGATCCGATTTTTAATTTTCCTTTTGAATACAACAAACATATCGATTTATTTTTCAAAAAATAAACTCATACCTTTTCGATTGAATCGTCAATAAAAGTGACATAACGAGTGTGAGCCTCTAAGAGAAATTATAAGGGCTAGTCCCATTGCATCGGTATGCCCTAATTCTAGTTTCTCTTTCTTCAAGGATCTATCAATTTTAGAAAATAAACTCTCTTCTCGCTTTCCATAAATACATGCCTCATATAAGCCAACATTAAAATGTTTCAATTTTGTTAATTTTTTCATTGATGCTAACTACTTCAAACCCTTTTTCTCTCATATACCTAAACCTTCCATGTCATCGTATCAAATCACCATCACCATTAGAATTAGCCACTTTTGTTGAATCGCTTGTTATAGTAGTCGTATACAAAGTCTCGGCCTTATTACCACGTGTTATAACCATATTCTCCTTCGTTATCTTCCATGAACTACTCTTAAATATTGTTGTATAACCAATATCATCAAGTTTATTAATAGAATCAGATTCTTCTTGAGACCTAGAATATGTTTAACATTCTATAGTTTCTCTTGCATTTCGTTGACGAACTTTGATACTAACCTTTCATTTCCCTTACAATGTCTAAAGGTCCATCGTTTGTAAGATAAACCTTCCTAAAATTTTCCGTAACATATTTCTATAAGAAATCTTTACATAGAGTAGAATAAAATGATGCATCAAAGTCTAGAATCTAAGACTCACTAGGACCTGTCTACACTCGTAAATTAATACATCCGTAATTTCATTAGTTATTGTAAATACAGAGTCATCATCTTTATTTGTCTTCTTCTAGGAGCCTTACACCGATTTTTAAAGTGCCCCTTTTTATCTCGGTTCCAAGAAATGATCTATTTGTAGTTTTTAGATTTTCCTCAACCTTTTGATTTTGATCTCGCCATGACCATGATTATGACCCCGCTAAAAGTCCCTTCCTCTCGCTATCAATACTTAAAGTAGAGCCTAAGGTTTCTCCCGACACATTCCTAGATCTTCATTCACCATCGAATCTTAAACATCATCCAATTTTAGTTTCTCATTCCTTAATGAACTCGCTTACTATTATTACTATTCCAAACCAAATATCGGGTAGAGAAGATAACAAAATCAATGGTTTAACTTCATCATCAAACACAATGCTTATCGACTTTAATTGACTAATCAAAACATTAACCTTATTGATGTAGTTAATCACGTACGCACCTTTTATTATCTTTAGATTGAATAATTGATGCATTAAAAATAACTTATTTATGGCGAGATGACTTCTTATATATATTTGATAGTGTTATCATTAGATCTCGTTATGGTCTTTTCTTTCACGATGTTGAAAGTAACGTTTTGAGTCAATGTCGGTCGAATAACGACCACAGCTTGGTGATCCAACGAACTCAATCAGCATCTTTCATCCCCTCCGGCTTCTTCCCTAATAAGGGTTCGTGTAGCTTCTTTTGATGTAGATAATCTTCAACCTACATCTTTTGTGATCCAAAGTCTTTACCATCGAACTATCAATCCTAACTTTTCCTTCTTCGACCATCGTTCCTCCTTACCTCGGTAACTTAGAGCTTTAATATCGGTTGTTAGGAAACGAATTAAGCAAAAGAATAAAGTAGAGAGATAAGAAAAATCACACAACATAAGGATTTTATATGGTTCGGCAATGGTGCCCACTCTATGGCCGCACTAGGATTTCTTATTAGGTTTTGTCAAATGGTGACTACAAATACAAATGATGTTGCCTTTATTTATAATATGAACAAGTAGTGTTATAAGAAAAAAAAAAAAGGTCTAATGGGCCTATACATCTAGTTCAATATTATGTAGATCTTATACTATAGGTCTCCATATACATCAATCTCTACAACTTAATAGGATCTTTACATCTACATTAAACTTGTACACACAAAGACTTAAACACAAATATAAATATCACCTTTAACTTAAAAATCTAAACGATTGATATTTCTCAATTATTAAATAAGCTTTTGAATATTAGGCACATGGACAAAAGGTAGTGGCTCGACGTATATGGTGCTATATATGAATTACGTATATTGATCTAGTTTATGAATAAGATTGGTTTACCTCATTATATATATATTCCTTAAGAGCGATTATAAAGTAGGATGCGGCATACCAACAACTTAAAGTATGCCTTGTAATCCTCAGAGACGTTACAGAGTCCTTAGCTCATTATTATTACACCTAAATTTTTCCAGCTGTCACTTTATTAAAAGGTAGCCAAAGCATAAAGAATGCAGCATGAAAGAACAGAGGATTGAAAAAAAAAGGTTATCTCCTAAAGGTAGTAGCCCAAACCAGGTGCATCATAGAGCCAACTTTATAGACATACTTCCAGCTTTAGCCAAAGCAACGATTCTCTGAGTCTGATCATACGCAGCTAACCAATTTTGTTGAAATCAGGAAATTAAGACAGTATATCTATCTTGTGTTTAATTAATAAAAAAAAATGTATAAGTGATGGGATTTAAACTCGTAATCGTTTGATCATTAAGATTTTGGTATCATGTCAAATGATCATCTCATCGAAAAACTTAAGTTGATAGATGAGTTTCGAGATGTGATTTATATTATTCTTTAATAATTCTTACATTATGTACTTAAATGATTATAACTAACAAAAGATAAAAGACCCAAATCCGTGAGATGTAAAATTTTCATAATTTTTTTAATTTTGACATCTATGAAAAAACTTTACTCAAGATACCTATGACCGTAGAGGGGGAAAAAAATTGGCTTGATTATGGACTGAAGGATGTTTGCTGCTTGACCGATCAAACTTTAAAAAATAAATTGTTTCAATTGAATCAAGAGTATCTTTATCAAAAAGCAATACCACGAGAATCTCTACGATCATTGAACCATATATATAAAACACTCATAAAAAATATTAATTTTGTTTCTACTACTCAATGGAGCTATATTATGATAAAAACCTGTAAAAATCAATCATAATAAAGGAAAACAAAAAGCACTTGATGGAAATTATTCCTTTTTAAACTGGAAACCCGATAAAGATTTATTCAGCATAATTATTTAGTTTGAGAGGATGGAAATGGTGGCAAATTTAATACCATATCAAAATACAATATTAGCAGTGATTGAAGCACCCGCAGCTTGATTTTGTTCAGTTTCCAAGCTTAGAACCTACTCCTTATGGAGTGGTTTGCTCCAAGTTTCTTAACTTCATCATCTAAAGTTTGAAGCCCAGAGCTGAAAATGGATGTAAAAGCATCCATTATAGGCCTGGGATATGATAAGAAAACTTCAATCTCCCCTTCATTTTGGCCATCAGTTATTACAAATGCTTCAAATTCATCAGCGCAAATATCTTCATTTGATTTAGGTCTTCCCCACCCAAAATCAATACTGTATATGCTAAACTTAGGTGATGAAAAACTTTCAAAAACCCAAGTTTTATATGCTGCGTCCATCTCTTGCGCCCAATTCTCAGCTCCTTTCAGCACTCCTCCTGCATCATGCAGCCTTTTGTGAATTGAATCTCGTATGATTTTAGCTGCAATGACAAAACCATCACTTCCCTTCAACTGGGACATCTTAACACTAGCCAGGGCAGGTGCCAGGCAATTACCAACATAGTTTGCAGGCAAAGGCGGGTCCAATCGAGGTCTACAATCTACCTCGGTAAGGAAATGTACAATTTCATCATCATCTTCAGCTGCCTTACGTTCACCACTTGCTGCTCTTGCCTTTGCCATGCAAGACCATACATAGGCACATATAACAGTGACGGTTGTTACCCGTGATAGAGAGGGGTATCGGGCTAGCACTACTTTCTTGAGCTGTTGAACAGTGGCTTGATTGATTACAAATGTGGCTCGAACCTTGTTGGTAGGCAATGGAGGTTGTAATCCATCATACTTTGTTTTCTTGAGATAATTCCACATAGCAGTCTCCACTTCAAGCCCTTTAGGGTCCCTGAGCCGAGTCCTATCCAAACTTGGCTCAAGTTCACGACCCACACATGCTTCATCTCCTCCTTTTGAGATTGCAGCCCAAATTCTCATGAAAACGGCGGTGGCCTGGCCATCAGCTACCGTATGATGTATATTGAATCCCATACAAATGCCTGAATTTGGAAAGAGTGTTACTTGAAAAGCCGAAATTGGAACGATTAGTGTGTCATGTGACATGAATCCTGGTGGAAGTTGAGGGAAAAGGGAGTGATATTCTATCGCATCTATCATTTTCCTCCCCGTGAGATGATTAAAATCACCGCTACACTCTGCAATGGTCATGGAGACTGAATCACCTTCTAAATAATGGATTTGAGGCCTGCCAGAATTTGGAGGAAATATCAAGTTTCCAGCAAAAGGAGGGACGTATTTGAGGGCGAGGGATAATGAATGTATAAGGTTTGGAATGATGGACTCCATAAAATGGCTCTTGGAAATATTTGCGTATTCGTAGAAGAAGATATTTTTCATGGGAGGGAAGCGGACCAAACGAAGGTCAAAAAAGGTGAGAGGGAGTGTTTTCTCAGAGGTAGTGCCAGGTGGTGGAGAAACTTTGCAATGTTCAAGGACGGTGACCATGTTGTGTGAACCCATATTGGGGATATGCAACAATCGTTTATTTTGGTTAGAGATAGAATCTGTTGCAAGAGTTTTTGGATATGTTCTTCACTCTACTTTGCAAGTCTATATATAAAGGTTGGAATGTGTTGCTAGTGATTTTATTTACTCTATTTATTTATTTATTATATAGCAAATTCGTCTCAAAACTACCACGTTTGGTACCTAACCAATAACTTGTTGGTTACACGCGCCACTTTTTTAATAAGAGTGAAAATGCATCTGTAGAGTTTATTTCTACCATCAACTCAAATCAATTGTACTAAAGGCTCTTCAGGAAAACAATCAAGAGCTTTTTTTTTCCAATGTGGACCATGTATGTCACCAACCTTCACCCCATCTCCTGATTGAAGCAACCAATTCCATTCACTAGTACAGGAAAATTTGAAAGGCCCATCTGATAAACGAGGGCAGGACTGCCTGCATTAAAAACCACGTTTATTAAACAAAACTGGAAAATATATAGGTTAGGTGGGAAATATCATTGATTTTAATTAAGTGCTAAGTAAATCCTATTTCTTCTAATAATTAGAAAATATCGAGCGGATCTTTTAATTCATAATCATCTGGTTTTAAATATTTATGTGATTGTGAAAACATGATGAATAAGAAGTCAACAATCAGAAAACCCAAAAAACATAAAAACATAGTATCGCATATTTGTATATTATATTTGCATTCGTTGGTTTTTTTAAAAAATATATATATAGCAGAAGTTCCAACCATCATAGATTTTGTTTATTGCATAAAGTTATATATTTTGCAGATGCTCTTACATTTATTTATTTATTTTTATATCTTTACAGATATTGAGATATTTTTAAACTAATTTTTACATTAATCTAAATTAAATTTATCACTTCCTATGTCAAGCCAACACCAAAATATTTTAGTCTTTAATCGACTAATAGACTCTCTTTTAGAACAAAATAATTTAAATCTAATATTATTAAAAAATAATTATGTCTAATTATTCGTACATAATGAGAATTAAATCATTATATTCGTGGAACCAAAACAATCATTTTATTACTTAGACCACACCACTTGTTGCTTTTACATTTATTTTGAAGCATCAATTAAGAGACTCCAGAGGTATACGAGATGAAGGACTATGTAGTTAGTGTGTTTTTGCGTTTTATGGGCTTTAGCCCCCTGCCCACTACTAAAAATAATAACAAATAAGTCAATTTATCATTAGTCACTTTACACTTTACATATCTCTAACAAGTTATTTAGTATTTACAAATGAAAATAATACATTATTAAAAATAAAAATCATATATATATATATCAAATTGAAAAAATAAATTTTTTTAGGTTTTAATATACCTTTTTCAATTATTTTATGACTTGAAACTATCATGAACACACTCTTCTTATTAAAATAAACAATTTAAATGCAAGATCTGTCATAAAAAAAAAGGGTTGAAATTGGAGCCAGTCGTGGCTTTTTCTTTATAACTCTGCATTTAGGAATCAAATTGTAGCACAAATAAACTTAGAGATTAAAATAAAATAAAAATTAAAAATATCAAGAATTAAAATGCAATATCAGAAAAAATTGCCATATAAATGCCCTAAAGCAAGCAACCTAAAAACCACGAATAATGTATAGTGCATACAAGTCTAAATGAATATTAAATTAAAAGTGTTTTCATTGTAGGTGCATAATGTCATAAATAGTAAATACTCCAAATCATTTTGTATTTTTTTAATAAATAAATAGTTTTTTTATAGGTAAATAGTGTCATGAATAGTAAATTCTTAGAATCTTTTAGTTTTTTTTTTTTTAATTGGCCTCATAGTGACTAAAAGATCATTAAAAAAAAGTCTTCACTTTAATTATGTTTCAATCTCAAAAAAATATATTTTTTCATAACATTCATTACAGGTTTAGCTTAAGATTAAATAACTTATAGATTTATGGTTAACTTGTAAAATAGGTCTCTGAATTTGAGTGCAAAAACAAATATTCTTTGAAATAACGAATCCATAGTTTTGTCTCCTAAATAATATGATGGAAAAACCCTTAAAAATCATTTCAAATCCTATAATTTTCTGTACCACATTAAAAAAAAATGTTTATTAATAGAGAAAAGTGAGGAATTCAATAAAATCCTAATAGAAGGAACAAATTCAAAAAAATTATATTATTTAAGAGAAAAAAATCATAGGTTTTTTAGTTTAAATATTTTTTTTCCTCAAGTTTCAGAGAGTTATTTTACAATTTATCCTAGCTTCATTATTATTGGTTTGTGTTAATTGTAATAATATGAAACTGGTATAATTTTCAATGCCTTTGGTCCATCCCTTGCAAATCCATTAGATGCAAGCCCAATAAGAAAGTTGATCCAAACTTAACAAACCTAAAACATTGGGCTGAAAGTGATCCAACTCCAAAAAAACCAAACCAGTGCCATTCTTTGAGACCACAACACGCTCAACCAAATTACCAGGTTTTAGCAAAACGTCAATGGCTTCGAAACTGCAACTTTCTGTCAGAAAACTCTCCACGCTTCTAAAACCCCACTTTTCTTCTTCATCTTCTTCTTTATTTTTACTCAGGTCTCGTTCTGTCCTTATACAATCCGCAAGAACCATTAATCACTACTCAAACAGTTACTCTTTTCCTCCTTCAAGAACCTTCTTCTCTTCTCCCTTGTTAAATCTCAACTCAACCGACGCTGAAGGTCCCGCTGCTATAGATTACCGGTAGGTTATAGTTACAAGTTCGGTTAAGGGACACCTAATGTCTGTTTTTGTTATCTGGGTCCTTTTGTATTGGTTAAAGGTGGGTTTTTTTAATGGTTTTTTAATTGGTTAAAGTGGGATACAGTTCGCTTTTACAGGAGGATGAATTTCACTCTCTAGCTGATTCAACCATTCATGATCTTCAAGAGAAATTGGAGGTTAAATTTTGAACTTGCCAGCTTTCAAACTAATGAAGTTTGAAGCTTTTTAAAAAATTTCTGGTTTTTTAATAATAGAGTTTTGTTTTGGACAGGAATATGGTGATAGTGTTCAAATTGATGGCTTTGACACCGATTATGGGGTGAGTTTTCCATTTGGGTGATTAGTGTTTGAGGATTTGTCGATGAGTAGAGATTTGTTGTTAATGGAGGGTATTATTTTATTTTATTTTATTTTTTCGGTTTTTGTAGAATGAGGTTTTGACTCTAAAGCTTGGAGATATAGGGACTTATGTGTTGAATAAACAAACCCCGAATCGGCAACTTTGGTTGTCTTCCCCTGTGAGGTATGAAATTTTCTTATTGCTAGCTAGTTTAGTTCTTACATTAGTATATGTTTGATCAGGATTGTGTTTAGAATACCATCTGGTGTTATGTAAATGATTGGCGTTCTTTGGTAGAAGGGAATCATGGTTGCCCTGTATTAATGTTATCTCATTTGCTTGTTTCTTCTGGTTTTTTCAAGTAAGATTGAACCTGTTGCTAGAATTGTGCTTGCTCAAATGAATGCTTACTTAGGTTGTAGGAAGTTGGTAGGTAGAATTGTTGGAGGTTCCTATATTTGGTTCTAAGTTGAAAAGGTGGGCATGGTTAAGTTGTTATTCCTCTTTATATTAGTAGGTTTGTAAGCAAGCAATATGCTGATAAAACTGAAACAAAAGAACTCAGTGTTAACATTGTAATCCTTTTTCTTGGTGATCGCATTCAGACCCAAAGAAACTATATGAAGTTTCTGTCCTTTCTTCTTCTTTTTTTTTTTTTTTTTTAATGGGCTTTGATGCTAAAAATCAAGTAGCATCCTTTATTGAACAATTTTTTTTGAGCTAGAATGTTTTTGCTTCAATTTGTCTCCTTTTAACTTTTTTTTTAAGCCAATGGCATCATCATATGTATTCATGGCGCCAAGCATACTTATTGGTTGAAAAGATAAAAATAAAATTCCCCACTCTGTTTTTCTTGTTTGTGATCTGGCTGGTGCAACCTGGTTTTTTTGCAGTGGTCCATCTAGGTTTGATTGGGATCGAAGTGCTCAAGCTTGGGTGTATAGACGGACAAAAGCACATTTGTTGACTGTCTTGGAAAGTGAAATAGGGCAACTGTGTGGTGAACCTATCAAACTTGCTTAGAAACGATGTTGAATTCTAAGATGTATTGCAGAGTTTCTGTTCTTGTAAATTTATGGGTACTGTTTTTGTGCTGTGATTCTTTTTTAGATTATTACTGTATCGTTCTTTTTCAGTTGAATGTAGACAAAAAAGAAAATCTAGTAAACCGGAGGTTCCTCCAACATTTTGATTGGTCCTATAATTCTCATCCGAAATAATACATCAGAAATTCTCTGTTGTCAGACAATTAAGCTTTTTGATGACTTATCCTGTTTAGACATGCACATTCCTAAAGATAGGCAATTCTTGAATGGTGTGTATGGGTCCAAATAGGAATTTCTCGTAGTTTGGCAATTGAGCTATACTATTTTGGGTTCTTATTTCATGGAAGAACTCAATGGATCCAGCTGGCATATTCTCAATTGTGATGCACTTAAATGCAGGGATTCACTTTTTCATAGTGGAATGAGCCACAAAATTATTGGAGCATGGAATGAACTATTTTTAGCTTGATTCCTGAGATGAGATTCAACAATATGTTCATATGTTCAATTTCAGTTTTGTGTAGAATGAAAATGGAAGCTATCTCAGCTATTCTGTATGCAGCAGTTCTATAATTTCTAGACTGGTGATAAATATCTCAGGACAGGACGAGCAACTAGTATTGTGGCCTCATGATCAGGATTTTGGATGTGTTTTGTTACAAAAAAGAGACCAAGCTGATAATTTACGCTCTTTGCCAGTCTTGTTGTGTATAAGAATCGGATCTCATGAGAAATATGTTCATAAGTGGTTTATATGGGAAGATGCTCTCATGAATTTACATCAGCAGTGGTGCTGGAGGTGGTGCTGCTGGAACAGATATCTATATCAGCCTGTTGCTTCTGAGCTTCAAAAGTAGAGTGGTAAAAGAATTTGATTAATTGGTAAATTCAGGAAACATTTTCTAGAGCATGTGTATTTGATGCGGTTGCAGTGTAAACAATCAGGTCACAGAAGGATATATGGGTTGTGGATGCATTTATTCCTGTGAGAGCATTGACGTTAGGCCTCTTCCTCTGCTGTCTGTTTAAGGGAAAGCTCTCACATGAAGGTAAATCTTAGTTCTTGCTGTGATTTTTGGACTGAAAGGGAAAAAACTCAAAACACCCTTTTCAGGAAAATGAATATAAAGGTAAAGAGAGATCCTTTTAAGTGACTAGTCTGATATAGAAATCACAACTTTTGTTTTCTGGAAATACTTTCATGATCTGTGGTGAATTTTTATGCCTGCCTACCATTGGTAATGTAACTAAAGCATGTCAAGTTGCCCAAGCAGTATTTAGAGGTCTCCTTTTGATTTAGAATCACTTCCTCGAATTTGGTAATGGTAGCATTGGATTCTTACGTATTCTTCCTTATTCTATTAGAAATTGCTGCAACTTTCCACAAAGTAACAGTGTTGTTTTTCTATAATGAGATGGGGGATTGATAAAATTAAACACCTGTTATTACTTGACTTCAGTGTTGTTCTGAGTTCAACTGATAACAAATCAAAGCTGATGAATAATCTGAATAAAATGGAAGTAGAATGTCGAGTTGCCATCATTCAGTTGTAAGAGAGTATCAGCTGCAACTGACAAATTCTCAGAAGCAAACAAGCTTTGACCGGGAGGGTATGGGCCTATATACAAGGTTGTTAAGTTTCATTCTCTTTGCTTTCACCATTGCCTTTTTAGCTCAACGTAGTTCTCGCATTAGCTGCTAGCTTTGGAACGTTTCAGATATTCTCTCCTGAAAATGCATGTATGAGTGCATATAAATAGTTTGTTTTTCCATGTTTTCGGTTGTCCAACTCAGTTCCAAAAGGGTTTATGATTAATTTCTTGGGTACATCACGTATGCATTATCAAAAGAATTTCTGTAGGACTTCCGTTCCTATGTAGATTGTTAGAGTTAAGAATTATTCATAGCAACATTCTGTGGGTAGTGAAATGAACCCCAAATTTGGCTTTTGTTACGACTAAACTAATGGCCACTTTATTGCAGTATGATTTGTTCGAGTTTACCTTGTTCAGTTCACTCCTTGTGGCACCCATGTTGATATTTACTTGACTTCTTTCTTCCTTTCAGATCTTGAATTTACATGAACATACTTCCAGTCGAACGAATGTGAACCTAGATGTTAGAAAAGCTGATTAGAAGTTGAAAACCGAGAATAAATTTTGGTAGGTTTTTGTAAATTTGGACTGAAGTTGGATGGTTGATGATGTGGTTATGTTGCTATTGCCTTATTGGTATCTATGTGAGTTGTATGACGTGATCAAAGTTGTGTAGTGAATGGTAAAAGGACATTGATTAGTGCTAAATATTAGATAAATTGCTTATATATGTGGTTGGCTGGTAAACGCAATCGAGGAATCGCTTGAATTTTAGGCCAATTTCTGAGGATGCTTTGATTTTCTCAGCAAGGAAAGTAGTAGAATTGGAAGAAGTTCTGACTGCCTTCTTGTTCAAAACTGTGCCTTTCTCCATACCTGTCAATTTGTTTCATTCTTCAATCCTTGGGACTTAATATCTTATCATCTTCGTGCCTCCTGAGTTATCGTTTTTGGTTGCCCGCCTCAGGCCAATGCCTATCTATGGTATTGCTTTCTAATCATGGAGAGACACTCTGATCATCTCTCAATGATGCTGCTAAAAAAGTTGAATACACGCTACTACTGTAGAATTACGATGATCAGAAGAGTTTCTTGTCGTCGACATTGTCCTTTCTGCTTGCTGATTCTCTCCTGGTACCAGAAAAACGGAAACGAGGTTTGTTTCATTTCCTTCTCGTTTTGAATAGGTTTTTATTGCAGACTATTTGAGTTTGTAAGGTTCGAACATTTGATCTAACATGGTCCCGTTTTCAACACTTTATCTTAATCTGACATGCTTTTGCACTAACAAGCACAACTGCATTTTTTTCTTTGTTTTTGAAGCCACTTGCGTTATCAGGATATTCATGGCGCCAAAAGTTCAGCAATTTTGACACTGGTTTGTTTTTTCTCGTCCAGCTGACATATTGTGGTTTTCATCCAGTGGTTCTTCCTGATTGAGCACGTCTGCATTTTTCTCCCTCCTTTTACAAGTTTTATTGATCATAATTAATTTAATATTAATTTATTTTAAATAAAATCATTTTTCTTGTCAAACTTTCCATAGTACTTATTTATTTACCTACCTTTTCAATTTCTTAAAAAGATTAAAAAATAGTATAAAATAGATGAAAAAAATTAATTAATTCGTTTTTAAAATTAGAAGAATTATTTAATTCATATAAAATAGAGATATTAATTGGTTCAACGCAAAAAATTATCTCTAAACTATTAGGTTATGGCAATGTAAACTCTTATTATCAGTATGGGTTGTATGGACCCTAACTATTACTTTTGAAGCAAATATTATATTTTTTTTATATTTTTAAAGATCAAAACGTTGATGATTAATATGAATACTTAAACAGTGTTGTTTAAGTATTTTTTTTATTAGTAAAAATTACTTCTAAACTATTGAGGTTACAATAATTTAAGATTTTTACTATCAATTTGGATTATTTATATTTTAAATTATTATTTTATAAGTAAATATTGTTTTTCTTTCATTATTTATATTTTTTCATAACACCATTTTAGGTTCGATTCAATCAAGAATAAGGAGAGAAGAAAACATGAATTGGGCTCAAAGAATAAAGAAAATAATATTTATTCTCAAAATAATAGTTTGGAGCTGAGCTAACTCAAATTAATAATAAATGCTTAGTAATTTGGAGATAATTTTTGCATAAGAAGTATCATAAAAAGGATCCATAAACATTGCATCTTCTACATCATGTATATTTAAACTATAATTATATTCAAACTGAAATTTAAATGTTTAATTTTATATAATTTATATATTTAAATCTATTAACAGAATTAATTTATTAAGATTTAAATTCGTATTTTTTTTATTATTATTATTTTAAAAAAAAATCATTATGAATGGTATACGAGTTCTTTGGATGAATGAGTCTTGTGTTTACGGCTTGAATCCATCCTCCACATCTTTGAAGGCCATTAATGGTGGGCTCGAGGAAAATGAAAATGATGTGGGGATAAGGAAGTCGGAATGTCAAATCTTTGGCAACCTCTCTGTCTCTGTCTCAGCAAGGATAAGTGTTTCAGCCTCACGTCGTGTTGCTTTAGTTGGGCAAGTGTGAGTCCAAGTCTAGCTTCGTAGGATGAAGTGCCATAATGAGTTAGACTCTTAGAGTGAAAAATAATGCTGGTAGGCCACGCCAAAGTTTTAACTAACCTAATTTATTTATGTAAAGAAATATGGAATATTGATTTTGATAATGTAAACAACTAATTCGAGAAAAAGCCAACCGAAAAGAGATCTTAGCCACAATTACACTTAACCGTTGTTGTTAATCACAAAGTGATAGTTTATTTATAAATAAGTATTAATTTATAGATCAGGTTTAGAGCTTGATCTCTATTATCGATATTTTTTAGAATTTATTCTTAAAATATCTAAAATCGAATTATTCTTTAACCATGTTAAGAGAGAAATTAGTTTTAAGATATATAAAGTTTTTTTAAAAAAAAATTGTTAAGTACTTTATAAAATTGAAGTGCCAATTTGAGGAGTGGCGTCAAAATGAACCTCTGTCAGTCAAGGTGGAGACATAAGCTGCATTTTCCTACGCTACAAAACAACACAAACATTTAAATAGAAAGAAAATTCTATGGTCACTACCAAAGATCATGAAATCATGGTCAGCAGAATGCTATGATCAAGAGTTAATTATAATTTAATCCCAATAGTTATCAAAATAAATTAACTATTCCTTTTAATATAAAAAATAATTATATAGCTTTTTGACTCATGTTGTTCCTTGAAAATTTAATTGTATTTTGTTTTAAAAAATGACTTCTTTTCTTTTCTCATTAATCTCTTTATTCTATCTGGTTTTATATTTCTTAAAATAAAAAATTGAAAGAGGACATGAAATTGAAAAAAAAAAAAAAGATTAAGTTATCAATGGATTTATGAACATATAGATAAATGTATAGTTTTTGAAACCATGAGGACTAATTGATTAATTTTGCTATACTATAAGGATTGATTCATAATAAGCCTAAAAGTTGAATGGAAGCCCCCACCCTTATAATAATGTCAACACGGTTGTCAAGAAAAATTTCAGAAGGCAAAACACTACCAACCGCCACCACAAAACAACAAGTCTTCCTCAAAACACTCAGTCAATCTCCACCACAAGAAGCAAAAGCCTCCATGTTTTTTTTCTTTTCTATAAAGTGATTATTTTTGTTGTATTTCCAAGGAAGTTTCCTCAGAAACCGTTAACCTAGTTGTTTTTAATAATTTTTTTTATTTTTTATATTTATAAATTATGTAATATTTCGAATCGTTTTTACATCAAGTGAGTTAAATTTATTATTTTTTTTGAGTTAGATTAGTATCAAATTATATCTAATTTTTAATCAATTTTGAAAATTAAATTTAGTAATGGTTTAGTATCACATCAAAAAATATATATATATATGATTTTTAAAAACAGAAAATAATATTATTAGACTTTTTAATGGCATGAAGTTGCCTCAGCCACAATTTCTTGTGAGGCTCAAAACATTTTGTGTAACATTTGATTATGGTTTTAATTATTTTATAAAGTTGAATTCCTACACATAAAGATGTTCTTGCTTGATGTGATGGCCGGCCAAAACTTTGCACTATTTACTAATACTATTAATTTATTTTATTTAAAAACGTTAAGTAAAGATGCTAATCATGTGTTTACATCAACTTAGTAGGCCTTCGAAGACCATATGCTCTCAGATATTTTGCAAAGAAATTAATTAAAAAAACCACAAATATCTCCCTAACCAACGTTGACATAAAGTAAACCAAATTAACAATTATTAATTAATTCCAAGGAGGTGGTTAACCTATCTATATAACCACAAGTTCAGAATCTTCTGGTTAAAAATATTTGCCTTTTTTTTAATTTTTTGGTCTTTCCCAAATATCCTTATAGCAAGTTGAAAATAAAATTAATTATGTTTGAAACCCAAACGACAGATTTAATTTTTCCAACAAATACGATTTTATAATTTAAATATTATATAAATTGAGTATCTTATGCTCTAATTTTTTTTCTTGTTAATAACAAATAAAGATGCAATCATAGCCACAACTACTAAATTGGATTGGCGATCCAAATTGTACATGTGGTGCATGAACAATAACAGAATTCAAACATCTAACAAGCCCTAATTGCAATTGCCAAATAGAGTGGTTTGGTTCTTCAAGATTTTAACTTGTTACTTAAAAGGGTTAGGACAGGCAATCTCTCTTTTTTAATTCCTAGAAAGCTTAATGTTTAAGAGAATCAAGAACTATGATTTAAGTTCTTTTTTAAAAAATCATATGGAAAGATCACCAACTAAGTTTCAAATAGCCATACTTGCATCGATCTGATTTTTCAATTAAAATTTCGATCAATGCTGACATGACAATCTACATAAACGTTATTACCTAAACATGATACGTGAATTTTAACAAGCCATATAAGATTCGTGTAAGCAGTGAAGTGAAAAATCAATTATATGAATCGTACTTAGCTTGCTAAAGTCCATGTGTTATGCTTATGTGGATCCTACATAATTTGTTAAAATCCATATGTCATATTTCGACACCGTTCATGTCTTCATTAATCAAAATTTTGATCAAAAAATCAAATCAATTTTATTATTGTTATCGGATACTTAGTTGATAACCTTTCTATATAATTTTTAACAACATAAAATTATTAAAACATGTATAATTCATAGCTTTCTAAAACACTAAACTTTCCTGAAGTATCCCAAACCAAAATCTTAAATTAATTTTTTACTGTTCAATTACGTTTATAAAATAAACAAAATTTTTCGTATATATAAAAACTTACAATCAATACTACTGTCCACTTATTTAAATTACTAATGGTCTTGTCATTCAAATCAATCCGCGTATACCAAGCGATCTCTTTAGGCCACAAACAAAAGTTGCTGTATTTATTTCAAGGGCAACCACAGAGATATGTAGAGAGGTCCCCCACTACTCCTTGTATGTGCCCTAAGATTGGCCATGTCATCATCTGACATCTGACAATTTTTCGTTTGAACTATCTATTGATCAAACCTACCTCTTAATCAAGTGGATGGAATTTAAAGTTTCAAAAACTCTCTATGCACCCCACCCTACTGACTTCGTTCAGATATACACCCTTAAAAGCAGACATAACTGCAATTTGCCTTCTTTTCTCATCAAGGAGAAAAGAAAAGTTGGCCACCATGACTTGATTCCATATGCTCCCAAGATTTTTGAAAATTATTATGCTATGTTTGATTACAAAAATAATTAATAATTCCATCCTAAAACGTAACTAATCATAAATTAATGGAGATAATATTAAAATAGATAATAGAATAAATATTATGAGTATTTTAAATTTATCTTACAACACCAAATGTAATGAGGCTTTGGCTTGAAAATGAAAAAAAATAATACAAATTCTCTCTTTAATTAATTAAAAGTTAACCACACAAATTAATGACCAAATGGTCAATAAAAATCTCAAAGATCAACAATTAAATAGCCCTAACCTCCTCTAGATATTTTTGTTAATTACTTGTTAGAAAATGTCAAACTAATAAATACTAGTATAAATATACCTAAACTACCTCAAATCGTACGGCTAATATTCTCCAACAAATCAACATCTACGGCTTCAAATTCTTCACTCAATCTCTTAACAAACCCAATAATTATCACCCCCTAGACCTCTCCACCTTGCTTAAACCGTCCGGTCCAGTTCCTTTCTCTTCTGTTTCAAAGACCTCACAGGAGAATGGCAACAGTCCACATGAGTAGCTGAGTTCCCGTACATCCGTATAGCATATGAACGGTTGAGATCATCCTGCAATAACCAAAACCCACAAATCTTAACCATCCAAATTTTCTCTACCGAAAAAAAAAAAAAAACAAATCCTATTCCAATTTAGACAATGCAACATTTTTTTGATGTACGGAATTTATTTTTGGTATGCGAAAATTGATCCGAAAATATTGTACGATCGAGTACAAAATTCGTCAGAAGCGTTTCTCTAATCGGAATCGGATTCACCACTCCGATCAAGGTAAAAACAATGCATCATTATCACTAAGAAAATTAAAAAACTACCCAATAATTTTGATTCAATTGGTATGTTGATCATCTCATTCCTGCAAAGACAAAAACCTTAAAAAAGACACCAAGAGAAACAGTAAAGGCATACCTGGAGACGCTGTCTTTTGAAGGAAACAACATTAGAAGACTCGACAAAATCTCCATCACTATCATCACTACCAGTGCAAGAACAGGAAGAGCTTCCGCTATCAGCTGGCGGTGGAGGTGTTCCTATCGTTGTTGGTGACCAAGGCACCACCTGATTATCACCATCACCACCGTCATCATCACCACCTCCACCACCATCATTACCATGATCACTATCGCTATCGCTATCGCTAGTGCTATCTTCGTCTATATCATCTGAACTGTCATTGTCTTCTTGTTCTTGCAATTCTCTATTGTGATTGTCATTTGAAATCATACATCTTTCACATACAGACACAGTGTGCCCTAGTTTAGCCCCAGAGGCTTTCCAAGGAGTTAAAGATTGGCAAGATTGACAAAGAAGAGAACGAGTATGTCTAGCAACAAGAAAGTTGGCTCCATGGACTTTTGTATCACAGTTCCAACAAAGACTTGCTTGGTCTGATTCACAGTATGTTCTTGCTGGATTCTTGCATAGCTCACACTTCTTCATTCTAGGGCTTCTTTGTCGTGCTTGATCTAAAAAATCCCACAGTTTTGAGCTTTGAGTTGTTGATTTTCGTGGGGTTTTCTTTATTTTCTATTTATGGATTCCTTTCTCTAGCTTTTTAGGAGTTCTTTCCCTTCTTCTCTTTCTAAGTCAAGGAAGGATTGGAGAAGGAGGTTGAGAGCGAAGGAGAAAAAGAATTGGAGGTACTTAAGCTGTCTTTGCTTTTGGAAAGGGAAATTACCTTAGTGGCATTCGGTTTGCTCCCCATTTTTTTTTTCAGTCCGATGATTTTATAAGAATAATTTAAAGGTCATTTGTCACTATTAAAAATTGTACGCGGTTGTTCAAACTACCCTTAATGTCTTTTTTATTTTTATGTTTTCATTTTTGTATTTACAATTTTAACATTGAATTGAAAAGAGTAAAATTTTTATATTTTATAAAATAAAAAATATGACGTAATTTTTACACACACGACTATATATGATATGTCTAATGTCTTATAGTACATTTTATGATAGATAAATATTATTTTTTTATATAATATTAGTAGAGCTATATATAACTTTCATTGTCCAATATTGTTTTTTAGTTATTATTATAACTATATAAATATGAATAATACATTGAATTAGGCAATGTCTTAAATTAAATATCTTCGTTAAAAAATTAAAAAGAAGACAATCAATAATATTGTACCTTAAAATAAAAAAATAAAAAAAAGCAATTTAAGTCAATGATTGAAGGTCATTCTATGCCCTCTAATACAGAAAATAAACAGAAAACCATCATTTCAAAAGTTACTAATCTCACCTAATTTTAAATTACGACTGTTAATGAAATTTTAAAAAATTACTACTATTGTTAGGAAAAAAAAATTGCGTGGTTATGAAATGGGGGCAAAATTGTCTTTGACCAAACTCAACAAGAATGATCCAGACCTAGGGGTTTGTGTGATCAAATCCAAGGAACCCAAGGTTTGTGGTGTCCCTAGCTGCCAGGTGTCGGCTCCACACGGCACATTTAGCTTCTGTGGTCACACACCCCCTTCTGCCTCCCATAGCCTTTTGATTCCTGTTTCATGGCTGGCTGTCAACAGACAGATATTTTCAGAAAAAAAATAAAAATTTTAGATTTTTTTTCTGAGATTATATTATGACGTGGCATGCACGTGGCGATAATCGAGTCGAGATTCGATTTGCTTACGTGGTTTGATTTTGCTAATGTTACTGGGACCCAACCACGTGGACGTCACCTGATATGGAATTGCTTTCCTTGTGGTTTGGGTCCCTCCCCTCGTTTCCCGTTTGATTTTTTGTCTTCCTTCTTTTTCGGTTCCATTATCTCTCTCTCTCCTTTGTCAAGGATAAAAGACTGAATTTTTGTGCATCTTAGGGTTAGCTAAGATACCGAGAGGAATAGATTCAATCTTAGTCATGAGTTTGAATCTGATGGTTGATTTTTTTTTTTTTTAATATGGAGATGGTATATTTATGTTTAGTTGACTTTTTTTATGGTGGGATTTTAAAGTTTGTCCCTATATAATTGGGTTTTAGATTTACAAATTTGTATTTAAGTACGAAAGTACGATAATTTTTATTGGTACAGAATCAATTTATCCGTATACTAGGTAATACGGTTGTTTTTCCGTACACTCATTCATTAAAAAAGAAAAAAGAAAAAAGAGAGAGAGAGAGTAAATTTATGTGCATCTTTGAATGAGGTATTAAAATTCAAAAAATTATTAAATGGATGATCCACCATCTAAAATCATAAAACCAAACCAATAAAATCACTACAAATAATTAAATGTTCAAATCATCCATTAATAAATCGCATTTAAAATGTGATTTATTTTATTTTTAATAAACATTCATAATTATACAATTAGCTAATTAATAATGCATCCATCGCAAACATAGAATTTAATCAATTGATTGTTTGCTCACCATTACAGTACTGAGAAAATACAATCAATAGTTGTGATCGAGTAATAAAGAAATTGTTTTTGTTTTATCAAAATTAAAACTTAATTTTCATTGTTCATGGATAATTAGTTATAATTATCGTTTTAATGATATCGGATTTGAATTGATTTAATTTAAAAAATAGTCAAGTAATAGATCAAAAGAAATTGTTTTTGTTTGATCAAAATCAAAATTTAATTTTCGTTAGTCATAAATAATTAGTCATAATTATCTTTTTAATGATATCAAATTTAAATTGATTTGACCTAAAAAATAATCAAGTGATCGATCAAAAGTTAAATATTTTTTTAAGATGACTTAGCTTACAGCATGGTAGGCTTAATCACAACTGATGTGAGTGTATATATATATATAGTGCTTTGGAAATGTCTCTTCCCCTTACGGATGTAGAATAAGTCTCGGATTCCTTGAGTGTTGATCTAAAAAAATTATTCAAATGTGTGAACTATTAAAATTTCCGAAATAGTTAATTTGAATTCAATATAATGTAGGAAATGTTGCATAATAAACTTTTCCAAATTATAGTATTTAAACCATGACAAAAAGAAAAATAAACAAAGAATAAAGAAAAAAATATTTTGGTAGGTTTAACATGTAAAAGGTGTGGTATTATTTTATTAAGGAAACAAAACACATGCAAGGAGTGCTCGCTTGAGTAGTTCAATATCACATGCTTACTTGCTGATTTTTTTTTCTTTTTCTTTTTTTTAATGAAACCCTAAATCTGCTTGGTTATCTTATTTTCAATAAGAGACTAATTAATTAGTTTTTAAATAAAAAAAATTATTTAACACATTTCGTAAAACTAAAAGAATTAATTTATAATTTACTCTTTACACATGCGTATTGAAAAATTTAAGTTTTAAAGTATTGTTTAATTACTAAAAAATTTTATTTCAACTTTATAGCGAGTTTGGTGGAAAGGAATGAAGTACGAATAAAAATGAAAAGTTAAAATAAGAATGGAAATCAAATATAGTTTCATTCCCATATGAAATATGAAAATAAAAACAAGAAATGAAAAATGATATGTTTTTCCTTTAAAATAATAATATTGCTATGAAATAATGAATGTCCATCATCATGTTCATCCACTTTTCATATCCCCACTACTCATGATTATTAATATGATTCAATTCATCATTCAATATGAGAAATTGAAAGGGTGATGTAGTTGATTATTCATAGTCTCTTTCAATTATCTCCTCAATTTTAAAGCTTATAAATATGCTTGATTGTTCATTAGTTGGTGTATAAGTTTTCTAGAGAGAATAAGAGAAATTTTGAAGTTCTTATCACTAATATTCACATTATAATGATTTTATTTTCTTGTCATCCTTTTCTTCAATTCTCCTATTATTTCTATTTATTTTATTACACGTTATCGGCACGAAGCTCTAATCAATCGAGACAATAGACCATGAGGTATGTATCTACCAAAAGATTTAATCAATTATTTCAACAATTGGATTTCTTCTACACAAGTGCTCTATTAAAATATCTAAATTTTTTAGATCATTAAAAGGTATGTATCTAATTTTTTCATGTAGTTTAAATCTATTGATACATGAAATATATATTTGAAAAACTTAAATGATCTACTAATGATCTAATATATGTTATTTGAAAAGCTTTAATTTTATTATTATATTTGTTCTTATTTTCTAATATTATTATTATATATTGTATTATAGAATTTTTATCACATCAAATCTCATAAACTTGATTTGGTGACTCTTGATATTTTGAATAAGAATTATTGATTATGAGTGCTTGATTTTGAAAAAATATTCTTTACTTTTTATGTCTTGGATATGCTCCTGCAGTAGCATATCGAGAAAAAGAGTTTAAGAAATATTTTGGATCGATTTTATACTTGTTAGTGGCTAAATAAAATGAAAAAGAATAAATCTTATCCAATTAGATCTACTCAATTTCTTGAAGTGAATGTGACAATTTATAATAATTTTAAATATGGATGGAGATGTGGTCATAGCCATGGATATGGTCGAAATAATTATCATTATAATCGTAATAACCATAATATTACATCTCACCACCGAAGTGGATAACTATATAAAAAAAAAAGGAATAAAAATAGATAAAGTCGGTATTCTGAAAAATAAATATTATAGATATGGAATGAATGAATATTGGTTGTGTACACGTTGTACATTAAAGCACCTCATTGAGCATTGTCAAGCCTTATTGAAAAATAAAAAGTAAAATATGAAGATCACTTTTATATATCAAAGTAATAATAATTGAAATTAATTACTTGTTAGTTTTTCTATTTATAAATAAAATGTTTTATATTTCTTATAATTTATGTCGTATATTGATGGTTACAAATTTATTTTACTATTTATTTATTTGTTTATGTTTATGAGGCATATATTGATTTATTTATTTTATATTAATTTATTTGATTATTTATTTTATGTTAATATTATATATGATGATATCAATCTAATAGAAAGTTTTATAAGAGCGACTATATTATTATCTAAAGAGATAGATTTTGAAGGCTCTAGAAGAGCGATTATATCATGACTTGAAGAGATAAATTTTTGAAACTCTAGAAGAGTGAATAAATTATTACTTGAAGAGAAAATATTTAAAGGCTCTAGAAGAGTCGATATATTATTACTTGAAGTGACTAATTTAAAGGCTCCATAAGAGCAAATATATTATTATCCGAAAGGATAAATTTATTATGAATGATGTACTATTCTCTTCAAAGTCTCATAGAAATTTATTGAGTTTCAAAGATATTCATCCGAATTGATATCATATCAAGATAGAAAATACGAATTCTTATATGTTATAATCATTATATTGGATAGAAAATCTCTATCAAAAAATTTATCCATTTTCTATTCTAGTCTTTATTACAAACATTGAAATGATTGAAACAAATATTATAGTAAACCGAATTTTACTAATTCAAATAGTTTTATTATGTTACATGACCAGTTGTGTTATCTTGGGTCTTTCATGATGCAAAAAATTATTAAAAAATTATATGCATATCTATTGAAGAGCCGGAAAATTCTTCAATTTAATGAACTTTCATATCTTGTATGTTGCCAAGGTAAATTGATGATTAAGCCATCATCAAGTAAAATTGAGATTCAATCTCCAGTATTTTAGAATATATTCAAGGTGATATATATGGATCAATTCATCCACCATGTGAACCATTTAAATATTTTATGATGTTGATAAATACATCCACAAGATGGTCACATATATACTTATAATCTACTCGAAACCCGACGTTTTCGAGATTACTAGCAAATAATTTGATTTCGAGCATAATTTTCAAATTATGCCATTAAAACAAGTCACCTTGATAATGCTGATGAATTTATTTCTCAAGCATTAAATTATTATTGATTGGCTATTAAAATAAAGGTTGAACATCATGTTGCTCATGTTCATACTAAAAAAGGTTTAGCAAAATCATTTATCAAAAGGCTCAAATTGATAGCTAAACCATTATTTAAAAATAAAAATCCCTGTTTATTTTTGGGGATATGCGATCTTACATGCAGCAACACTTATTTGCATATGACCCATAAGTTATTAGAAATTCTCTCCTCTTCGGTTGATTTATGGTCATGAGTCAAATATTTCTTATTTAAGAATTTTTGACATTGCGAGTGTTTATCCTCGGTGCTCCTTTATAATGAAATAAAATGAGCACTTAAAAGAAATTGAGAATATATGAATCATTTTTGATAATTCAATCTCTTAATTCATGAACAAGAGGAAATTTTTACGAGCTTGATTTATTGACTATCATTTTGATGAAATAGTTTTTTCAACATCGGGAGAGAATAAGCAAAATAAGCGAGTTGGAAATATTGAAAAAAAGAAAGATTACATGGAGTACTCTACATTATATCACCTTGATTCTTGTAAAAGATAATATGAACTAGAAGATATCACCTTGATTCTTATAGAAGATTATGTGAACTAGAAGTTCAAAAGATAATTTATTTACAAGGTATTGAAACCAACTGCCGGATGCATTCTCGGATCTTAAATGAGTAACTAAAATGCATGTCCCTGCTGAGAATACTTCTATTATAATCCCGGAAGGATAATCTATTAATATTATAGCTAACGAATTTAAAGCACGCCCGAAGCGTGGAAGATCGATCGGTTCTAAAGATAAAAATCTTTAAAAGAAAAGGGCAAGATGAAAATATTTATAAAATGGTCTAAGATATTTCGATAATAAGCTTCTAGAAAAAGTCTAAATGCTTGAGAAAAATCAAGAGATTTTGATAAATTATGTCAATACGGGGAGAAAATAGGACTAAAAAGAAACATATATTGATAAGATTTTTGCATATAATATTACAATTGATATTTGAATCAAAATAAGGATCCCGAGCCAAAATTTATTGAAAAATATTGACATAAAGATGATTGACCTAAATGAAAAGAGCAATCTAGGCGGAATTATATTTTCTTATAAAAGTGTAGTTTTTTGAACCCATAGCTAAAACACCCGAAGATGTTAAGCTAGTGGGATACAAATATGTATTTATGTAAAAATGAAATAAGAAAGATGAGATTATAAGATATAAAGTAAAACTTTTAACATAAAAGTTTTCGTAAAGAATTGACATTGACTATGAGGAGACATATTCTCCTATAGTGGATGCAATTGTCTTTTGTTATCTCATTAGCTTGGAAAAATGTATGAAAAACATTCATATGCATGCATTTAATGAATGTGATCACGGTTTATTTGTTTATTTGAAATGATATCGGTATAAAAGTCTTAGAAAGACTTAACATGCCAGAATCATGTAATACATATTCTCCAGAAAAGAATTCAATTAAATTATAGAGACCTCTATTAGAATTATTTTAGTATTTGTTTTATTATTTTGATTTTTAGAAATTCAATTTATACTTTTTATATTTTATTTTTATATCTACTCGTTTATTATTAACCCATGTGCATGTGATATAATCACTTCGATGATTATTTATTGAAAGAAAGTTATAAAAAATAACCCTATTTGTTCATATGTTTTTATTTTGAAAGGGGTTTGTTTTATATGTTGATAACTTAAATATTATTGGAACTTTCGAAGAAATTTCAAGTGTCATAAGTTACCTAAAAAGAGAATTTGATGTGAATATCTTAGGAAAACAAAATGTTATCTCGACCGCAGGTTCGAGCACTCGGAAAATGAGATTTTCATTCATCAGTAAATTTATATCGAAAAAGGTTCTACAATGATTCTATATAAAGATCATTCATTGACTAGCCTAATGATAGTTCATTCACTTGATATCCAAAAAGACCTTTTTTGACCTCGAGAAGATAACGAAGAACTGCTTGGTCCTAAAGTACCATATTTTAGTGCCATTGGTGCATTGATGTATCTTGCTAATAATACTCGACTTGATATAGTCTTTTCTACAAATTTGTTAACAAGTCATAGTTCTGTCTCAATATAGAGACATTGAGATAAAGTTAAATATATACTATGTTATCTTTTAGGAATAATTGATATGGGCTTATATTACTCTAATAAATCAAAGATAAGATTAATTCGTTATGCGGATGCGAGTTATTTATCTAATCTACACAAAGCTCGATCACAACTGGTTATATATTTACATATGGAGATACGACTATATCTTGGCGTTCTATGAAGCAAACTACGGTTACCACATCTTCAAATCATGCGAAATATCAATTCACGAGGCAAGTCGATAACGTGTTTATCTAAGATCAACGATCCATCATATCCAAAAGACATGCGGTTTATCTATCGACAAAAGAAGTTTCAACAATATCATATAAGGATAATGCTGCTTGCATAGTTCCATTGAAGGAAGAATACATTAAAATGACAATCCGAGTAGATTTGTTCACTAAGGTGTTACCTATCATAACTTTTGAGAAGATGATTCACAAGATTGGAATGCATCATCTTAAAGATCTTAAATAATGTCTTCAATAGGGGAGATAAAAATGAGGATTAATGTGTGTAAGTAATATTGTACTCATTTTCCTTCACTAGGATTTTTTTCCCATTGGGTTTTTTTCTTGTAAGGTTTTAATGAGGCATGTTCCTTGTACAATGGACATTCAAGGGGAGTGTTATGAAATAATGAATGTCCATCATCATGTTCATCCACTTTTCATATCCCCACTACTCATGATTCTTAATATGATTTAATTCATCATTCAATATGAGAAATTGAAAGGGTGATGCAATTGATTATTCATAGTCCCTTCTAATTCTCTCCTCAATTTTGAAGCCTATAAATAAGCTTGATTGTTCATTAATTGATGTATAAGTTTCTTAGAGAGAATAAGAGAAACTTTGAAGTTCTTATCACTAATATTCACATTATAGTGATTTTATTTTCTTGTCATCATTTTCTTCAATTCTCCTATTATTTCTATTTATTTTATTATAAATATATTATTTTTATTTATTTTGATCAATTATTTCGCCACCACAACCACTACCGTCATCACCACAACCACCTTCATTGGTAGTTGTGATAAAAAATTTTTATAAAAAAAAACTATTACTATTATCATTATTCGCCACCACTCCTTCTCAATAACCACAATTACTTTTATTACACCATCACCATTATCACTATTGATGATGGTGATAATTAATTATTTTTTTTTAATTATTTCGTTACCACTTCTCTTCCTCTATCACCATTACTTTTATTATAGCATCATAACCATTATTATTTTTCTTTAACTACCACCTTCTATGATGATAATATCATTTTTTAAAAATACATTATTATTATCATTATCATCCCTTCTTCATCACTATTACCACATTCATTTCTATCACTATTACTACAATCATTTCTATTAGTTTTACTACCATCATGGTTGATGAAAGAATTTTTAAACATTATTCTTATTCTTCTTAACCAAACCACGCATAAGGGTGGTTTTGTTTTTTTTTTTTTTGGGGTTTGGTCTTTCCTTTTAACGCCCCACCTCTTTATTATGTCGTGGCTGGCAATCCAAAATAGATCTTCTTTTATGTTTCTGGTACATAAAAAAGTTTTATTTATAATTTGGCCACATATTTGATAGAAAACATAACGTATTTTACATCATATTTATGTTGTGATCGAAATTTAAAAGATATTTTTACAAATTATGCTAATCAAACATAAATACATCATCTCAAAAGCTAATAAAACTACTCAACCTATAGATCTTAGGATGAATAATTTTTTTTTTTACTAAACACCAGAACATACCCCTTAATAGCAAAAGAAAACAAGTCTAGCTATAAATTATGACAAGTGAAATTGACGGTCACTCATGAACACACCATGTTTGGGCTACTTTATGCCTGCCTCAGTGCAATCAAAGTTCTAGCAGGCTAGTTTCAGCCTTTCAGAGCCAGGTTTTTGGGCACTTGAGAAATGTTGATTGGGCTAGCTTGAGTTTAGTGCTGATTTGCCAACACAAAAATGTCAAAGGCTGTAGTGCTGCACCTGGTGGGCCAAAAGGGAAATAGAAGAAATCCATGTTTCTATATACCGTATCAGAAATAAAGGGAGAGCAGGGAAGAAAAATGAAGATAAAAACGTCGACAGCAGGGTTCGAACCTGCGCGGGCGAAGCCCAACAGATTTCAAGTCTGTCTCCTTAACCACTCGGACATATCGACATTTGTTATGCTGTTTCAATCATTAGCATTTACTATACTTTTCTCTTTGTTCGTTGTTTTTCATTCACATTTTGTGCAGTGAATTTTTCCGACGTAAGATGATGGCTTCTATAATGTTTTTTTTTTTTTTGGATCTTGTAGTCCAATCAATGGTCAAATAATCAAGATGTTAGGTTTAGTAGTCAGTAGAATAGACATAATCGGCCACCACTATAATGACCAAAAGTTACCGTGACTTCTTCTTAAAATGTTTTTTTTTTAAATTTTATTTTAAGTTTAAATATTCCAGATAGAAAAAACTAATTAGTAACTTTTAAAATAGATTTTACATATATCGAGACTTCGTATAATTTATATTCTTTTTTTAGTGAGATTTTAATTTCTTTTATTCAATTTAAGAGTTTTATTTTTATATTATTGTTGTTTTAAATTCTAATGTGTGACGTAAGTACATATGATAAGTTCTAATTAATGACAGCTTGCCATATACGAATTTTTTTATTTTTGTTAAAACCCAATTTGAACCCATCATGTAAGAATTTTTTATTTTCGTTAAAACTCAATTTGGGTGCATTATGACACATGATAAGTTATTATTGGCTAGAGTTTATCACGTGTGCTTTCGTGACACATTAGGGTTTGAAACAATAATAAAATAAAAATAAAGCTCTTAAATTGGATTAAAAAAATTAGAATCTTAATTAAAAAATTGAATTGTACGGGATTTTAATACTGAGTAAAACCCTTTTTAAAGTAGATTATTACAATGTATAGATATTTTTTTCAGTTCATCCAATGGCCTATGAGTCATGGGTTATATATTAAGAGGTAATCTTCTTTTATTAGATAATAATCAAATAATTAGAATCATTAGGACTTGAATTTACTCCACTGAAAAAAAGTATGGGATACACAACAATTATTAGACTATACATGTTTTACTAGAACTCAATCCTGTTTCAATGCATACCCTTTGAACTGTGATTTATTAACTGACCATCCTATACAATTTCTTACGGAGTATTGAATCCACGGATTTGGTTCATCTCACCCTTTTCATTTGTTTAGAACGATGGCAACCTTCCTTATCAAAAAGAGAGAGAAGGGATTTTGTTAGCAATTCAACCTTCAATCTCAAAAGACATATTCATATTATTTTGTATTCAATTAATTAAGAAAGAAATAAGAACAATGAGATTCAAACTCACGATTATTTGATTATCAAAACTCGATATCGTATTAAAAGATCAATTCATTCAAAAATTTTAACTATTAGTTGAGATCTAAGATATCATTTATATTATTTTATAATAATTACTAAATACATACAATATGATACCCTTTTTGCGTTTTTTTCCCCCTAAAAATTGAAGCTTGAAGCCGTCATTGTCTAAACTTTATTCTAAGAGGTCCAATTAATTAAATTCTACATGAACGTGCACTTGACGGTAATGCATATTCCAGGAAGGTGTGAGCTTGATAGCTACAATTATTTCTGTCCTTGTAACCGACAATAAACTTTTTGCCCAAAGTCTCCCTCGGTCTTTATATATATATATATGGTTATAAAGAAATTTGAATTTTTGGTCAACAAAAAAAGGTTGTAATTTCTTTTTATTTTGATTTAAGTCTTTTTTTTTGTAAAAAAAAAAAGAAATTAAGTTTTTTTTTGTTTCGTTTATTAATTTTAAGTGATATTTAACGGACATAAGAAATAAATGAGTCATTAAAATAGCAACAACAATATATATATATATATATATATATATCTTGAAAGAGATATTTTTGAACACCTAAATTATTTAAATAATGACATGTGTCACCTTACATGTATTCAATAATGTTTGAAATTGATTAATGAATGTATATATCTTGAAAGAGATATTTTTTAAACATGTAAACTATTAAAACAATAACATGTGTCATCTTATATGTATTCAATAATGTTTGAAATTGATCAACGAAAATAAATAATTTAATTACAGATAAAAAAAGATTAGAAACTTAAATCATAATAAAAAAAAGATTAGAAACTTTTTTTGGTATTGATAAGAAATTCAAGATATTTTATAACTAATTACCCAAATATAAATCACACACTCCATGCCGGCCATACCAACCTTAGCTAGTCTGATCAGTCTCAAGTCAACTTGCTCTCCATGCCGGCCACACCTTTTATTTTTCTCCAATGATGAGTTCAACACTTCTACGTGAATTTTACGTTTTGTGGGTCAGAAAGGAATCACATCACACGATCAGGTTCACCTGTTTGAGCTTAACATAAAGATAACAACAAAACATCAATTTTGTTTGCCTTATTCCCTTGTTCGGTCTGATAACAACCATATCTACTTTAATGTGAAACTTATCTTCTTCAATAGCAAAGTAACGTAGTGAAGGTGGTAGGACTTGGCAGTTTGATGGTTGATCTGCGCAAATCACCATGCCTTCATCAACACCTGATATTGAGAAGTTTGATGGACTTGGTAGTTTTAGCCCATGGCAGGTTAAGATAAGAGCAGTTTTAGCCTCTGTTAGGTACCATTTTATTTGGGATATTACTGCTTTGAGTGATATTGTTATTAAGAAGATTGGTACCGAAGACAATCCAGGTAATATGTTGACAAATTAATCCCTTACGTTGTTCAAGTTCAAGCATTACTTGGACTTGATTTCTATAACCACCAGCAGCATCACTTAGCCCCAAGGAGCTTGATGGAGAAGGTGGAGAGTTTGGGCTATTAAAAGAATTCAAGTCTAGGGGAAGGTTTGTTATGATATGGCATGAATTTTAATTCTAATTTTATAAGCACTTGACGATAGGATTCTTGTGGGGTTAAGATTGGTTTTAGCCAGCATTGAAAACAATATTTTTGTGGATGCCATTGCTTTGTCTGTAATGGAGAATATGACAGCATAATTTTTGGGAAAAAAGTTGCATGTTCAAAACGGATTGACTATTCTAAAGTGATCGAACAATTCAAAGACGCACAGTCCTGTCGGCATCAACACAGAACAAGTACAATGGCAATTTGCTTTGCAGTTGACTTGACTGATCCATACATTTTTTTTTTTGGTAAGAAGAGGGCTTAACGAAAGAATTAACTAAGAGAGACTGCGTGCATAATCATGCTGTATGCCATTTCCTTTTTACATGCATTCTTATTATGCTCCTCTCTTTTGTGTTGCTTTGCTGGAGATACCATCACAATAAATAGTTTGCTAAGTGATGAAGGTGGAGAAACTTTAGTTTCAGCACGAAGAAAGTTTGAACTGGGGTTCTTTACTCTCGAAGAAAGTTCTGTTGACAGAAGCTATGTAGGAATATGGTATTACAGGTCGAATCCACGAATAGTTGTGTGGATTGCCAATCGAAACCGCCCACTTTTCGATTCTGGAGCAGTTTTCGCTGTCACAGGTGATGGAAACCTCGGTATTTTGGATAGAAATGGAAACAATTATTGGTCTACAGAGCTTAAATCAACATCAAAACCGGCGTACCGGGAGGCTAAGCTCTTGGATTCCGGGAACTTGGTTTTAGGTGATAAACTTTTGGCAAATAGTCTATGGCAAAGCTTTGAACATCCAACTGATACATTTCTTCCAGGTATGAAGATGAATGAGAATCTAAAATTGATTTCATGGAAAAGTCAAGTTGATCCTGCGGAAGGTAACTTCACATTTCAGCAAGAGGAAGAAACGAAACAGTTTGTTATCTGGAATGGCTATACAAAGCACTGGACAAGTGGGGAGTCAGGTAATGTCTTCAGTTCAGAAACAATGCCCGATGGAATAGCATATTTTCTGTCAAACTTTACCAGAAGCAACAGAACAGAAGGAATAGAAAATTTTCCATCAAACTTAACCAGAGTCAACAGAACAGGTGGAATAGACTACACCAGACTCAACAGAACACTTTCAGATTATACTAATACAAGGATTAGGCTGGATATGGAAGGGAAGCTACAATACTGGACCTTTGATACAAATTGGTCTTTGCTTTGGTGGGAGCCGAGAGACAAATGCAGTGTGCTTAATGCCTGTGGGAACTTTGGTAGCTGTAATCCATACAATAAGTTGGCTTGTAAGTGTTTGCCAGGATTCGAGCCTAAGTCACCAGAAAATTGGAAGAACGGAGATTTCTCTGGTGGATGCATCAGAAGCTCTGCCGTATGTGGGAAGAATGACACCTTCTTGAGCTTGAAGATGATGAGAGTTGGTCGATCAGAAACTCGACCTGTGGTTGAGGATGAAAATAAATGCAGAGAGGAGTGTCTTAATAATTGCCGATGCCAAGCTTATTCCTATATTGAGGGGGAACCCAATAGGCGAAGGGACAGACAACCTAGCAACAATGTCTGCTGGATCTGGATCGATGATCTTAAAGATCTTCAGGAGGAATATTCTTATGGCGGCCTCGATCTCTTTGTCCGTGTAACCCTTTCCGACATAGGTACTTCCTTCTTTCATCTTCCCCTTCTTTTTCTTCTTTCATTACTACAAGCTACTAAAATAACATGAAGGAAGGATGATTTTCTCTGATAGAGCATTGCAGACAAGCAATGGACTTTCTTCATGACTGAGCTAAATTTCCGTCTTCAATGTCTTGACAAAGCTCCAATATTTTTGCAGAATCAAAGGCTAAAAGTTGTGAGCCTTGTGGCACAAATGTGATTCCTTATCCTCTAAGTACTGGATCAGATTGTGGTGACCCCATGTACTTCAATTTCTACTGCGATAATTCCACTGGAGAAATCAGCTTTAAGACACATAATGACACCTATAGTGTCACTACCATCAATCCAGATACAAGAACATTTTTCATCCAAGTGACAGATGTAGGTAATTGTAATTCCAGCACAAGAGGTGAAATTCAAAAGTTCAATCTGTCATTTCCTTTTAAGGTGAATACTGTAAACCCCTGGTGTGATGCCCCAGCAGGAAATACTAGTTCTGACGTTCCATCTCAAGGTATCTTTGAAATTGATATTGGTTGGGAACCACCTCCAGAGCCAATCTGTACATCATCTGCAGACTGTGAGGATTGGCCAAATTCAACTTGCAATGTAACAGGAGATACAGCAAGATGCCTCTGCGATTCGAACTTTCGATGGGATGGCATAGCTCTAAACTGCGCTCGAGGTAGGACTCAGCCTCATGCACCAAACTGCAGAAGTAGTGAAAACCATGTGTTCCATCAAGTTTGATTTATTATAATGAGCATAATCCTTTTTCTTCATTGTAGTTGTCGATAGCCAATCAGGAGGATCTTGGAGAAAAAAGAAACCATTGTCTTTGATTTTAGGGGCTACTATTTCTAGTGTCATTGTTCTATCAAGCATCTTTCTTTACATATGCATTTTGATGAGGAAGAAGGCCAGACGACGAGGTAACGTGACAACTTTTCCATGTTTAAGTTGGGATCGTAGTTTTTAAGGATTCCTGACGTAATTAGAAATTGTTTTCTTCTTGAAAATTCAGAAAGCCAGGAAAATGCTGAAAGAAATGCAGCTATTTTGTATGGCACTGAGAAACGGGTCAAGAACTTGATAGACTCAGAAGAGTTCAAGGAAGAAGATAAGAAGGGAATAGATGTACCTTTCTTTGATTTAGACAGCATACTAGCTGCTACGGATTATTTTTCAGAAGCAAATAAGCTTGGAAGAGGGGGTTTTGGACCTGTTTACAAGGTGATATTCTCATGAATCATTGGAGTTTATGTCTGTTTATTTTTCTGCTAATGGCTGAATTAATTACCAATAAGGCAACTTTGGTTTCAGGGGAAGTTTCCAGGAGGTCAAGAAATTGCTATAAAAAGACTCTCTAGTGTTTCAAGACAAGGCTTAGAGGAGTTTAAGAACGAGGTGATTTTGATTGCAAGACTGCAACATCGGAATCTCGTAAGACTAGTAGGGTATTGCATAAAAGGAGATGAAAAGATTTTACTCTATGAATATATGCCTAATAAAAGCTTAGATTCCTTCATTTTTGGTTAGTGTCTGAACAAATCCATCATTTTCTTTTTATAACATAATCTTTCAGTCGCCATGGTTGCTAATTTATGTTCTTATGGAAATGGAAAATCTTCGAAGATCGAAATCTTGGCATGTTACTGAATTGGGAGATGCGCTTCCACATCATTTTAGGAGTTGCTAGAGGCCTTCTTTATCTTCACCAAGATTCTAGACTCAGGATTATTCATCGAGATATGAAAACGAGCAACATTTTGCTAGATGCGGAAATGAATCCCAAAATTTCTGACTTCGGCTTGGCGAGGATGTTTGAAGGCAAACAAACGGAAGGGAGCACAAACAGAGTTGTTGGAACTTAGTAAGTTTCAGATAGCATCACTATTGTAATTCATCAGACATGCATTTATATGTGTAAACTCTCTCTTTAAGCACCATATAAGTCCTAGGAACTTGCAGCCTCCAATCCTAAAAGCATGTGATGGTTGATTCTAAATTAGGTGTCTGAATCCAGGATGCCGAGTCGCTAATTCTTGTAAAAATTGTTGAAATGCAGTGGCTATATGTCGCCAGAGTATGCATTAGATGGCCTTTTCTCTGTCAAATCTGATGTCTTTAGCTTCGGCGTAGTTGTACTTGAGATTCTCAGTGGAAAAAGGAACACTAGATATTTCAATTCTGAAGAAAACCTAAGCCTTCTAGCTTATGTAAGTTCAGGCTGTACTAATCTTTTGTTTCCATCATTTGATAATCTATGCTGACTCAAACTTGAAAATTTCAGGCATGGAGATTATGGAGAGAAGACAAGGCATTAGATTTAATGGATGGCACATTACGTGAAAGTTGCAAAACCAATGAGTTTCTGAGGTGTGCAAATGTTGCACTCTTATGCGTACAAGATGATGCAGCCGACCGTCCGGCCATGTTAAATGTTGTTGTGATGCTAAGTAGCGAAACTGCAAACTTTCCTGTTCCTAAGAAACCAGCCTTTGTTATACAAAGAGGCCGTTCTGGCAGTGGCACAGCTTCTTCTTCAAGTAAACAAGAAATAATAATCGATACATCGACCGCTTTAGATGAAGGTCGATAATGCTGGAGACTTTATTGAGTCCTGTCATTTGCTTAAAATCTTGTAATGTTTCTCAATCGTCAAACATTAGTTAGTAACATAGGAAGGTGTTAAACATCTCAAGTTTCTACATGACATAATTCATGTCTAATCCTTCTGTTCACCAATAGTAATCAAAACCTCTCTCAGAATTTCATTATTGTACTTTTGTAATTCCCCGAAAACAATTTTTCTTTAAAGCGTTCAAAATTGTTGTGATCAATTAGTTCGAATTTAGAGTTAGCTTGTAGAGTTCAGACAGTCTCGATTCATGTTGCTTAGCCCCACAGAAAGGATAAGAAAACTGACTATGGTGCTTCACTTCAAGACTAAGCAGTTTGCTACTGCAATTTGGATGAAGCTTAATCAGATTCTACAGCATTTCTTCTCAGGCAACAATGTCCCTTTCTTAGCATGAGGGTTCATACAGATTGGACTTGGTCTTAACATATTATTACTTAAATAAAGACTTAGTTTCGGTGTACTTCGACAATGTGCCGGATATGAAGCAGGCACCCGATCTATTTTGTCCCATAAATATTTATTAAAAATAACTAATGAGCATTGAGATTAGTGAGAGTAAAAATAATTTACATATATGATTTCCGTATAAATACTCACTTTATACTCTATTAATATCTATTTTTTTTTTTTGAAAAGAAAATATAAACTTGTAAGGACTTGATTATACCAAATTTATAAAATGGAGACCAAAATATTTTTATTAGAGCTTTGAAGACCAAAAGAACTTCTAAATAAAGGATAAAATTGTAAAAAAAAAAATTTTTAAGGATTTTTTTTTAAATACAAAGATTAAAATGAAATATTTTAAGAAATTGGTTTTTGCAAACATTAAATAAATAATAAATAGATGGATAATTGGGATACGAACTGAATATGAGTTTAAAAGCTACAATCTTAATGAGTAAAAACAATATAATTTTTTGAGTAAATTATAAATTAGTCTTTCTTGTTTTAAGAAACAAATTAATTAATTCTTTTCCTTAAAAAACTATTATTTAATCCTTTAATCATATCTGACTATATTTCATTTAATATTATTTTTATTTCACAAAATTTCTTATTTTCTCATCAATCTTTTCGTTTTTTTTCATTTTTTTCTTTTTCCATTTCTTAAAAAAAAAATCAAAATGAATTAAAAATGAATAAAAAAATTAAAGTATAAGTAGATTTCAAAATATGAAGATTAAATAATTAGTTTTTGAAATGAAATGGACTAATTAATTTGTTTCTCAAAACAAGAGGAACCAACTTATAATTTACTCATATATTTTTTTTATAATAAATAAGATAAGAGATTGAATTAATGTACTAGATACTTAGCCTATTGCCATATGAACATTACTTAAATCATATTTAAAAGAGTAAATTATGAATTAGTTCTTTTATTTTTTAGAAACAAAGTAATTAGTCTTTTTTTTTTTATATAAATGATTAATTTTTGAAAAGAAAGGGACTAATTAAGTCACTTCTAGAAATGAGAGGGACTAATTTATAATTTACTCAACAAAATGCTATCTGAGAGGAAGAGAGAGAGAGAGATGGGATGTTCTATCTATTGGGTTACGAGAACCTTTACCACCGCTACAACAACCATTGAGAACCGATCTGACCCCCGTCACCATCCACCACCACCACCACCACAAGCTCAACCTCAGCATAATAGAAGGCTCAGTTCAACTTCTCCTCCTTCGATCTCATCTTTTTACTACCTTTTAGGTCCACACATGTAGCCAGCACTCTTAGGTGGCAGATCGGGTTTGGTGGCAGATGGGGTTTGAATGAGAATATGAATCAAGAGTTTGGTTATGCCTATAATGAGTACCAACCCTGGTCGTACCCCTGATTGTAAATTTCCAACAAGATGGCAAGATTGCAACAACAAAGGACGGGATGCAAATCAAGATCAGATAAAAGGGATGCCAATGCCAAGAGATACTGACTTGTTGATTGGTTTAAGTATCTGAACAACATTCGGGAGCTGTAAGTGATTTCAATTTACAGCTCCCTAATGTTACTCAGACCCTGAAACCAAATCCAGCAAGCAAAATTGTTATGCTTTATGATAGAATTATACCTGTTGTTCTGCATCGGGTTTTTTTTTTTTTTTTCCCATCAGCTTTAATTACAAGAAATTCTGAACCTCATCCTTGCTGCACAGAGGCGAGTCGTATGCATCTTATTTTGACTATTGATCACAAGGCTGTCTCATTTTGCCTCAGAAAAAAAATGTATCTTCCCATTAAAATTCATTACCAATCTTGTATTGTTGTAAACCATAGCTGTGGCGTTTATGTTATTACAAGGATTTTTTGTTTTTCGTTTTTGTTTTTTTCGATAATTTCACGTAAGATGATAAGAAAAGCATAGATGTTCCATTTTTCGATATGGAACTGGGACAGGGGGTTTCGGGCCAGTTTACAAGTCATACTGTGGAGTTCATTTTTGGACAAGTTATCACTTTAAATTTATTAACCATGCTGTGTGATGAATTCTGTTCAGGGCAAGTTCCCAGTAGGACAACAAATTGCTATAAAAAGACGTTCTAGTAGTTCATGGCAAGGCTCGGAGGAATTCAAGAATGAGTAGTATTGATCACAAACTTCAACATCGAAATCTTGTTAGACTTTTGGGATATTGTTCCCAAGGATATGAGAAAATGCTAGTCCATGAATACATGCCCAACAAAAGCCTGGATGCCTTCGTATTTGGTTAGCCTCTAAACCTAACTACTTGGCACTTTTCCGTGCTGATGAGCAAAATATAATTTCAGATGATTTCTAACTTTATGCACTCAAATGGAAATTGAACCCATGAAAGATCGAACACTCTTGTGTGTTATTAAGATGGGAACTGCAGTTTAATATTATTGTGGAGATTGCTCGAGGACAGCTTTATCTTACATGAGGAGATGAACCCCAAAATTTCCGACTTTGGTTTGGCAAGGATTGTTACTCGTTAGAGGAAAACAAACAGAGGACTGCACAGAGAAAGTAGTTGGGACTTAGTGAGTTCCATCATGCAGATTGTTTATTTACCATGGTATGCCTTAGCTAGATATTCATCAAATCATGTGTCAGATACCCTTCACATGCTTACCTTTGTGCAGTGGCTATATGCCTCAGGAGTACTCATTGGCTGGGTTTTCTTCATCAAGTCTGATAAAAGTTTTAGCCTTTCAGCTTACATAAGCAATCAAGATTTTCGTAGCCACGTAATCTTTGTCTGTCTCTACTAAATACTAACTTTGAATTTTGAACTTGTCCGAGGCATGCATGGAGGTGGTTGAAAGAGGAAAAGGTACTGGATTTGATGGATCGAACATTATGCGAAACTTGTGATGTCAATGGATTCGTGATGTGTGTGAATGTTGACCTCATTTATGTGCAAGAACATCCACTGCGAAGCTTGTGATGTGAATGAATTCGAGAGGTGTATGAATGTTGGCCTCTTATGTGTGCAAGAACATCGGTATCGTCCCACCATTTCGAACGTAGTTTTCATGATTGGAAGTGAAACTGCATCTCTACCGACTCCTTACCAACCAGCATTTGCAGTAAGCAGATACCTTTTTAGCCCTGGCTTTTCTTCTAGTAAAGCAGATTCATACGTGGAGTTAACAAATACCTTAGAGAAAGGACGATAATGGGGTACGTTTGCAAAATTTTGTTCATCCCCGGGATCCTCCCGCCATGTCGAACGTACTTTTCATGATTGGAAGTGAAACTGCTTCTCTACCAACTCCTAACCAACCAGCATTTGCAGTAAGCAGATCCCTTTTTAGCCCTGGCTCTTCTTCTAGTAAAGCAGATTCATACGTGGAGTTAACAAATACCTTAGAGAAAGGACGATAATGGGGGACTTTTGCAAAACTTTGTTCTCCTCTTTATCAGTCTAGCAGGATTTGACACACTTCCAATAAATTTCATGTTTTTTATTGTCTATCTTGTTCCATAAACTCATAGCCATTGTCTTTAAAATTTGGCAAGATCATTCTGATCAAATAATGTGAATGGAGAAATTATAAAGCTGGAAGATAGTTTTCAGCAAGCGTGACTATGCAAGCAACTATAATGTGCACGACATGACATGGAACTAACAGTTTGATGCACGCATAAGGCTTAAGGCTTAGTCATGCATGTCAGACTTTTCTGCTCCCATTTGGCTACAGTTTTAACAAGCCCTACTCAAATATACCTTTGTGGAATAGTAAAGGAATAGGGGAAACAATCAATCTCCCTCGTCCATTTTCAATCATAGATGACCACGTAACTCTTGATTCCTGATCGAGTTTTTAGGACTCGTCGCTATGAATTGTAGAACAAAATGACAATGTAGAGACGTCATTAAGGCATCAGCTTAGGAGGCATTGAATGAGTTCAAGTCTTTTCAAGCTTTAAGCAAGGTTTTGATGGAAAATGCAAGGTGCTTAAAGACTAGTTCCCTTATCCCTCAGATTTTATATGTTATAATTCAAAAGTTGCAGAGATGGAAGCTTTATTTTCTTGTTTTATTAGTTCCTGTCAAAAAGTGATAGCAGTGAGTTCCCTATGCAGCATAAAAATCAATGCACATTGACAATGGCCTTAAAGGGTCATTGTCAGGGTCATTGTCATAGAGAAAACAAGTAGATACACCGAAAAAGCCAGATGTGCTTGAATCTATGGAGCCCCGCGTAATCACAGATTTTTTAAAGTATTTTAACAGGAAAGAGGAAGAAATTTGAAACCTAATGGGCCACAGGTAAAAAGATGAAATAGACATGAATCCAAAGACCTTGACCTTGTCACACATTAGCCTGACAGTTTCCCAGCTCAATAATTCAACTCAATTTATTAAATTACCATTCAAAAACAAGTTTATTATCGTTTTGCCCTTTCTACAGACACAGAAAGTGGTGACTTCTTTCATTTGGAAGCTGATATATAACACCTTTAACGAGTGTCGGTCTGTATATTCATATACAGTGCAAGACAAGAGAGGATTTGGTCTTGATTAATGTATAAGTTGGCCCGAGGATATCCTTTACAGTCGACCAATAAAGAAAAATATAGGGGGCTAGAGATGCATACGTATAACGGGCTTACCAATGGTAGGTGAGTGTATCAAGTTGGCTTCACTAGGTTAGTTTTTCATGCAAGTTTGAACAGTACTCTAGTCTAAACATTAAGATAATCTGAAGATCAATAATTCTTAAATGACAAACAAGATTATCTTTAATTATTATTGTAATCTTGCAATAATCTTTGACCAGTCATTTGATCAATCCACACTGTGACATGCTGACTAAATTCAACTTTTTGAGGTTATTGCTGTTAGTGGAAATCAACGTCAAAGCAAAATTTTCAGATAGGACAGAACATGAGAACTTTAATAGCAGATCCAGTAGAGATTAGATGATTAGCTCTTTAGCCATTATTCACTGTCTAGTTAGGAAGAAAGATTTAACAACTGACATTCTTTCTTAATGATAAGTAGAAAGAGAAATATCAGAAGAATAATCATAATTACCTACTTTACGAGACAGATGCTAGCCCCTAGTTTGTTTCTGGATGTATTTCTGTTCTGTTCTTTGCTTCTGCATTGCCTGGCAGGAGATACCTTAACCAAGAACAGTTCTATTAGTGACAGGACAGGAGAAACTCTTGTTTCTCTAGGAGAAAAATTTGAGCTTGGTTTCTTTACTCCAAATGGAAGCACTGGAAGAAGATACGTTGGTATTTGGTATTACAGGTCTAGTCCACGCACGGTTGTGTGGGTTGCGAATAGAGATAATCCTCTTTCAGATCATAATGGAGTCTTCTCTGTTGTTGAAAATGGCAACCTTGAGATACTGGATGGAAGGGGAGATCTTTCTGGTCAACAAGTCTGGAAAGACCATCCTCTATTTACAGTATAGCCAAGCTAATGGATACTGGTAACCTGGTCGTCATCGATGAAGACGATGAGGAGCACTTGATGGGAACTGTGTGGCAGAGTTTTGAAAATCCAACTGACACATTTCTTCCAGGTATGAAAATGGATGAAGATATGGTACTCATTTCATGGCAAAGTTACGATGACCCGGCATCTGGAAACTTTAGTTTTCAGCTAGATCAAGAAGCAAACCAGTTTGTCATTTGGAAAAGATCCATCAGGTACTGGAGAAGTGGAGTTTCAGATCATAGTGGAAGCTCCGGCAGTGAAATGCCTTCTGCAATATCTTACTTCCTGTCGAATTTCACCTCGACTCCAGTCCGCAATGATTCTGTCCCGTATCTCACTTCATCTTTGTACACAAATACAAGAATGGTGATGAGTTTTGCTGGCCAAATTCAGTACCACCAGTTGGATACTGAGAAGATTTGGTCCCTGATTTGGGCTCAGCCTAGGACTAGATGCGGTCTCTATAATGCTTGCGGCAATTTTGGTAGCTGCAATAGTAATAATGAAGAGGTATGCAAATGTTTGCCTGGTTTTCAGCCCGTCTCACCAGAGTACTGGAATTCTGGAGATAATTCAAGAGGATGCACCAGAAGATCGCCATTATGTAGCAACAATGCTGTTAAAGACACATTCTTGAATTTAAAAATGATGAGAGTAACAAATCCGGATGCACAATTCAAGGCTAAAAATGAGATTGAATGTAAAATGGAGTGCCTCAACAACTGCCAATGTGAGGCTTTCTTATACGAAGAAGCTCAAACCACTAAAGGAGGTGAATCTGAAAGTGCCACCTGCTGGATTTGGACCGATGATCTCAGGGACATTCAAGAGGAGTATGATAGCGGCCGCGATCTCAATGTACGCATATCAGTTTCTGATACAGGTAAGCTTTTTCCCCTTTTCTGAAAAATGTAAGAATTCTTTTCTATTTAGTACCTGCGAACATAGTTTTGATGCGGTGAAGTTGGTTTTTAAAATCAATGAGCCAATAACATGGATCTGCTTTACAATTGGAGCTCTATCCAAGTTTGATTTCAGCACTCCTCTGTCTGATGAGGTTGCTGGGTTATGATTTTCGTTTTTCCTAATTACGTAGTGGTTGTCTTTACAACACCACTAACATCACCATTGCCGAAAGTGATTCTAGCCCAACCATTACAAAATGATTAAAGATGGTAATGCAAGTCTCTGCAGCTTGCTGTCTCCTATATTTGCCAACCTTCCTGTAAAGCCATGATCATGGAGGTTAAAATGAACTGCTTTATCAAAGATGTGCTTTGATAGTAGATAACTAGACCACAATGATCAGTGTTTTTTAGTGTTCAGAACTTCTATTTCTGCAGATTCAACAACAAGAACTTGTGGGACTTGTGGAACTAACCTGATTCCCTATCCCCTTAGCACTGGACCAAAATGTGGCGATCCGACGTACCTTAATTTCTACTGCAACATCTCATCAGGCCAACTTAGCTTTACGGCACGAGGCGACGCCTACAGAGTCACAAAAATCAATCCAGCAATACACACATTTGTCATTGAAACTGAAAGTGCAGATAGTTGCAAGGCCATAAAATCAAATGACAATCTTTTACATCTCAGTCAATCATCTCCATTTCATGTGATTAGATGGTGCAATGCTGATCTGGGCAACTTTAGCACCACTGTGTCTTTCAAGGCTGGAGATGAAGTAGAGATAGGTTGGGATCCGCCACCTGAGCCAACTTGCTTTTCTTCTTCAGATTGCAAAGATTGGCCAAATTCTGCTTGCAGTGTAACAGTAGATGGAAAGAAAAGGTGCCTTTGTAATGCACACTCTAGATGGGATGGTTTGAAGTTGAATTGTACTGAAGGTACGAATTCTAGAACTGCTCATAAGTAGGGAATGTTATGCCTTTTACGATTTTTTTTTTTTTTTGTTTCGGATTGCAGCAGGTCATTACAGTAAGCAAACAGATAGTTCTTCAATAGGAAAGATTCCATTGTCTCTGATCATTGCAGTAGCTTTGATTAGTCTCATTGCTTTAGCTATTCTCTCAAGCACCATTATTTGCATATATTTGCAGAGGAGAAGGATGCCAAGACTGCAAGGTAATGACAGTATTTTAGATAGAGATTTTCAATGTGGATATGATGCTACTAACACATAACATTGATAATTGAGTTCAGAAAACAAGGGATTCTTTCTAAGAAATTTCGGACTTCACTTCAACGGTAGCGAGAGACTTGTCAGAGACATAATTGACTCAGATCGGTTCAATGAAGATGAGACAAAGGCTATAGATGTGCCATGTTTTGACTTGGAAAGCCTATTAGCTGCCACAGATAACTTCTCAAATGCAAACAAGCTAGGACAAGGAGGGTTCGGGCCTGTTTACAAGGTAACTAAGCATTAATTTGATTACAGTTTCATTATCAGAACTTCTTCACTGATAGATACAGCCTTCAAACATTTGATATCTGTGGGATCAGGCTACATTTCCAGGTGGAGAAGAAATTGCAGTCAAGAGGCTTTCAAGTGGTTCTGGTCAAGGATTAGAGGAATTCAAAAATGAGGTTATCCTGATTGCCAAGCTACAGCACAGGAATCTTGTGAGGCTTCTGGGCTATTGTTTTGAAGGAGATGAAAAGATGTTACTGTATGAATATATGCCGAACAAAAGCCTAGACTCCTTCATATTTGGTTAGTTCCTGCATCTATTTCTTGCATTGCATGACATAAATATTTTGATCACAGAAACTAAGCTGTTCCCACAAATGGACATGAAACCATGCAAGACCGAAAGCTGTGTGTGTCATTGGACTGGGAGATGCGATATAACATCATCATTGGAATTGCTCGAGGGCTTCTTTATCTTCACCAGGATTCCAGGTTGAGAATCATTCACAGAGATTTGAAATCAAGCAACATTCTTCTGGATGAGGAAATGAACCCCAAAATTTCTGACTTCGGCTTGGCAAGAATTTTCGGAGGCAACGAAACCGCGGCAAACACAAACAGAGTAGTTGGAACCTAGTAAGTTCTACACTGATTGTAGAATCTTCAACTTTACTTAAATAATCTATTAATCCACTTCTGCACTGCCTGTTATGCAGTGGCTACATTGCTCCTGAGTATGCATTAGATGGCCTTTTTTCTTTCAAGTCGGATGTCTTCAGCTTTGGTGTTGTTGTGCTTGAGATTGTCAGTGGCAAAAGGAACACAGGATGCTATCATCCTGAGCAATCTCTAAGCCTTCTAGGCTATGTAAGTTTCTTAACAGCCCCGAAAGTGCTGCTAAAATTGTTACTGTTATAGAATTCATCGATTAACATCGCGAGCCTTTCTGTTTCTACTTTCTGAACTGTTGACAGGCCTGGAATCTTTGGAAAGAAGACAAGGCAATGGAGTTGTTGGACCAGACATTAAGCAAAACATGCAACATAAATGAATTTGTGAAGTGTGTAAATGTTGGGCTACTATGTGTGCAAGAAGACCCTAGTGATCGCCCCACAATATCCAACATACTTTTCATGCTTGGAACTGAAACTCCTACGCTTCCAGATCCAAAGCAACCTGCATTTGTCGTTAGGCGATGCCAATCTAGCAGAGCTTCAGCTTCTTCATCAAGTAAACCAGACACAGTTTCCCATAATGGGTTAACAGTCACTCTAGAAGATGGCAGATAGAAGAGTAGTTACTAATTAGTAGGCTTTCTTGTCCCCCTTTTTTTTTTTTTCCCTGATAAGAATGTTTTTCTGGCATTTTGTGTGATTCTCTTTTTATTCTTACTTAACTGTACAATATCATTGATCTCAGGATTGCTAGTAGTTTTCCATCTATCTTAATCAATTTTATTCTGTTCTCTTCTCTGTAAACTGAACATGTTACTCCTCATCAGGATACTAATATATAGGTCTTCAATATTTATATCAGTTTCAGAAGTAGACCAGCAACCATTTGATCGCTGGAAAAAATAAAAGCGACTGTTTTCTAGCTCTTGACACTCTAATTTTTACACTATTTTCATCTAAAAACCCCATAAAATCATTATAAATATGTTAAAAAAAAACATTTTTTGAACCTCAAAACAAGCTCTAGTGCACCCTAGAAATCTAAAAAACCCGAACCCTCCTCTCTTTCCTACCTTCTTTCTCCTTCCTCAACTTTCAGGAATCTTGTTGCAATACAAATAATGTTTAGGGACTCTTTTGTATAAAAGTATAACTTTAAAGACCAAAGGGTAAAAACGTGCATAAAATTTCTAAAAAGTCACTCAAATTTCTTGTAGGAAAACTTTGTACTTTCAAGTCAAAAAGACCTAAAAGGAGGTAGTTTATGCACTGTAGCAGAAAAGTGAAACACCATTTTTTTTTTAAAAAAAAATGTACTAACTCAATACTCGCACCTTGCAACGATTAAATCTATTATATAATATATTTTAATATTTTAAATAATTTAAAACTATAAGTGTAAAATAAAAATTAGTTAACATTAATTGTAAAAAAAAAATTATTTATTAATCGTCTCCGCAACCAAACCTAATTTGGCTTTAGGAAATTCCTATTTTAATACTCTTTCTCTGTCAGGCTATGTTTGCTAGGATTTATTTATTTATTTATTATTATTATTATTATTGTAGATGAGGATTGGACTAATAGATTCAGGTTGAACGTGCTTGGGCCTGGCGCGTGGCTTAGCGCAGGCTTGTGCTATCAAGCCAGGCCTATCCTTGTTTTTTTTTTTTTTTATTCTTTTTTTTTTTAAAAGGAGTAAAAATGGAGTGATGACAATATTAAATAATAAAATACATTTTTTTTTCCTTAATTCAAGTAGAAGATACACATCAAAATATCAAGCTAATCACCTAAATAACAAAAATCATCTTGCTAAATATGGATTCCCACTACAATAAAATAATAAAATAAAATTGAGAGATGTCATCAAATATATTTTTTAAATTATCCAAAGATAAAAGCTTTTTGATTATCAATAAAATTAATTCATCGATCGAGGCAAGAAATATAAATTAGTATACTTTTTTCTCTCTCTCTCTCAAACTCTGCTAAACTCTTAATGCTTGTTTAGTAACAAAAAAATTATTTTTTTTCTTGTTCCAATAAAAATCAGAAAAAGTGATCATTTTTTGAAAATAAAAAATAATTTTTCCATAAAAAAGAAATAAGTAAAATTTATATCGATTTTTCATTAAAAAAAACCATAATTTATAATTGTCATCTTGATATTTTTATTGTGATAATATAATTATAAAATATTAATTCTATGCCATTCAAATTAAAAATTATTATGAAAAATTTACACTTGTTAACTAAAATAAACTTTTTTATTAGATTTATAATACAAAAATATATTTATGACACTAATGAAAGATGAAAAATGTAAGGAAAAAAATTAATGTTTTACATTTCTAAAAAAGTGTTTATATATATATATATATATATTATTCATCATTTTAGTTTTTTTATTTGGAAAACATTTAAAAACTTGTAGAGAAAAACTATTAAGATTCTCAATTTTTGATAAAATTTAATGTTTTTCTTTTTATGACTTGGAGTCTTACTATGTTACTAAACAGCCCCCCACCCTCTATCTATAATTTTTTTTCAATTTTTTTTTCATTAAGCTGCAGGCCTGCACATTGTCTTTTCTCTCTCAAAATAAGACAAAGCCAAGCTGGTTTTGTATTAAGTCCAAAATTGTGCCTTCAAATTAATTTATCAAATAGCAAATAAACATATAGAAAAACCAACGAAGCTATTTAATTCCAAATTCAGCAAAAAAACAACTCATCAACCTTCCTAAAAAACTAAAAATCCTAGAGTCTTTTTTAGGACAAAAATCCTAAAGCTTGAAGAAGTAATATGGTTTGCAAAGTGGCCAAGGCTTAGTTCATTACTACATTGTGTTGAAATTTTTATTTTTAATTAATGAACTGAAGATGGTAAGAATCAATTTAAAATTCTAATATATTTTTAAAAAATTATATCAATATAAAAACTTAAATTGTTGCGTGGGAATACTGTTATATTAATTCTGACAACTAACAACTAAACCCTAGGGCTTTTTAGGGTTTAAGATGCCTATTCATGTATGTTTTCCCAAAGCAGCTCCTGTGTACACGTTCCAACACACGGTTGGTCTTAAACGAGGAGGTTCAGTTCAACCGTCAGATAAGGTTGGGAAAAAAATGCAAAAGGTCAGACAAAGATTACCTGGTCTCTCACTTCAGTACACCTACCTGTGCCTTGCCTTTTTGTTTGTTTGCAATTAAGAGTACATGGACAAAATCTCAAATAATTTTAACAAAGAGAATGTTAATCAATTTAGCCCTTTTTTTAATACCCACATTTTACTTTAGTACACATCTTAACATCATATAATAATCTTCTCCATTATATTGGCTAGGAAATCACGCAAATTCAGCACAAATTAATCCTCTCTGCAACCAAGCCTAACTTGGTCTTTTCCACTGTATTCTATATCTGCTCTAAGCCTTGCCTTGGTGTTTTTGAAGGATGATGTCTCTGCACGTACTCCAATGCTTCACAATATATATATATATATATATATTAGATTTTTCATAGGGAGAAGAAGCCATGAGTGTGTTTGCTATAACTTCAGTCAAGGTTTGGATGCTGTTATTGACTTGAATGGTTCTTCTCCAAAATTGAAAAAGTTCGGATCCAAGTTGACATCAATGAAAATAAATAGCTGAAATTATTTAGTTATTTAACAGTACTAACTATGTTTAATTTAATATTATTTTATTTTAAAAAATGTATTTTATCAATTTTTTATGATATCTATTTATTTTTAAAAATAAATAAATAAACAAAAATTGGACAGAAAAAACTAAATAACTAATTTTTAAGACAGAAATGATTAATTAATTCGTTTTTTCAAGCTAAAGAGACTTATTTGTAATTTATTCATTGTTTTTAACTAGCTATGCAAAACTGAATGAAAAGCATACTCCCTCGTATTATTACCACCACAGTCCTTGACTAAAATATACCTCTCTCTCTCTCTCACACACACCTACACAAAGCAACGACCCTCTTCCGACCCACCCAAAACACAAAATCTGCAGGAGGTTGGAAATTATATCTTTTTTCTTTCTTTGATGCACAATTTTTTTTTTTTTTTTTTTGTTTTAGAGTGAAGTTTAGTAGTCTTTTACTTTCTTTCTTTGCTTCTTTTTTTCGTTTTGTAGATGGCAAGCACTTGGGCGGAGAAAGATCTGACCCTCACTCGTAAGCTTAGTGCAAATAATTGTGGTTGTAATTAGTATTTTTCATTTCATAAATCTACCTAAATTTTAGTCTAGCAGTTGTATTTTGTACTTTTTTTTGGAGAATTTCTTTTTGTATAATAATAATAATAATAATGGTAGTAGTGATAATAATATTAATAGTAATAGCAATAATAGTAGTGTTGTTGGTGGTGATATTAGTAGTAGTTGTACGAGTAGAATTAATATTAGTATTAGTATTAATAGTAGCAGTATAGTATTAGTAGTATTGGTGATAGTAGTAGAATTAGTAGTAGTATTAGTATTAACGAGTAGTAGTGGTTGTAGTATTAGTAGAAGTAGTGGTAGTGATAATGGTAATAGTAGTATTAGTAGTTTTAGTTTTAGTAGTAATGGTGGTAGTATTAGAAGTATTGGTAGTGGTGGTGGTAGTATTAATAGGAGTAGTAGTATTAGTATTAGTATTAGCATTAGTAGTAGTGCGGGGTAATATTCATAGTGGTGATTGTGGTGGTAGTGGTAATAGTAGTAGTATTAGTGGTGGTGGTGGTGGTATTAGTAGTAGCAGTAGTAATAGTAGAATTAGTATTATTAGTAGTAGTGGTGGTAGTATTCATAATAGTGGTGGTAATGGTGATGGTGATGGTAGTAGTAATATTAATAGTTGTAGTAGTAATATTAATAGTTTTAGTAGTAATAATAGTAGTAGTAGCAACATTTGTAGTAGTGTTAGTAGTATTGGTTGTGGTAGTGGTATTAGTAGGAGTAGCTACAACAATAGTAATACATAGCAACAATGAATGACGAGTAGTACTAGAATTAGTAGTAGTATTAGTAGTAGTGGTAGTAGTACTAGCAAGCAGTAGTGGTAGTCATAGAATTAGTAGTAGTATTAGTATTAGAAGTAGTGACGGTATTCATAGTGGTGGTGATGGTGATGATAGCAGTATTAATAGTAGTATTATTTATAGTACTATTAGTAGTATTGGTGGTGGTAATGGTAGTATTAGTAGTAGCAATTAGTATTAGCTATAATGGTAGTATTCATAATGGTGGTGATGGTGACAATAGTAGTATTATTAGTATTATCATTAGTAGTGGGTAGTAGTGGTAGTGATAGTGATAGTAGTAGTATTATACTTGTTAATAAGACCTAAAATCGTGCCCTCAAATTAATTTATCAAATAGCAAATAACCATACGAGTAGTGTTAGTGTTATTAGTAGTAATATTAGTAGTAATGATAATGATAATAGTGATAGTGGTGATGGTGTTAATAGTGTTAGTATTAGCAGTTGTATTATTATATGCTTTCCAAAAACAACTTATGCATACATGTTCCAACACACAAGTGGTTTTAAACGAGGAGGTTCGGATCAATCATCGGAGAAATCTAAGAGAAAAAGCAAAAAGCAAATCGGCAAAAGTTCATATGAAAGGAAAGAGGTATGTAATTAGTGAGTTATATCTCTCTTTAATACTCATTCGAGTTACTTGTCTATTTGTTTGTTTGTTGTTATTATTATTATTTACCTAAAAATAACTCATTCATTTCTTTTTTCTATCTACTCGCACGAAGATGTGAATAAGATGAAGGTTGAGCTAGAAAAGTTTAAGGAAAGCAATTATCGCCTTGAAGGAGCAAGCAGATCGACTCGAAAAATTATCTTAAAGAAACTAAAGATGATCCGAAAGAAAGTAAAGAAGAAATTATCAGCTTGAAGGTCCATCAAGAGATGCGGAATAAATGTTGTGAGGAACTAGAAATGGTGTGCTTTTCTTTTCATATATCTACTATGCACTCGTTTTTTCCATAAGATTGCTACATCATATATTAGAAATTAATATAAAATTATACTTATTGAAATAGTTCTTTGATATTAGATATATATTAAAACCAAATCATTAATCTAATTAAGATAGAATCTTAATATCTATTGAAAACAAAACATTTATTAGGATTGTGATAGAACAAAAGTACCATCTTTTAAGTGGTAACTTCATCTCGCTCATAAAATTTCTAGTTGAAGAAAGGCTACTAGAAATTTATAATTAATAATAAAATTTTAAAAATAAATAAAATAAAAAAGTTTTAATTTTTAAACTAGAACAATCTAGATCGATTCGTGTTTATTACAAAAAAGGTCCAAAGATGTGTCTTTGGAGTAGATTTGACTTAGAAAATGACTTGTGATGGCAATTGCCAATAATTATGGTGTGGCTCTTTGAATTAGCTTTTCACATTGATAAGATTTGAATCAATCAAACACTTAAATTTCTCTTTAAGTATTATTATTATTATTTTGAGTTAACTTTGAAGAAAGAGAGAAAAGAAGGGTATTTGTAGAAGGAGGAATGGGTATTGAGAAGAAGGAAAAAAGATAGGGTTGGGGTGGGATGTGGGTTTTAGGGGATATATCGTGTCACTCACTTTGTGTAGTCTATTTAGTCTAGTACTCTACTTTAGGTCCTGTACTTTCAATTTCTCTTTGTCTCATTTTTGGATTCCTACTATTTTATATTTTGAGATCTTAAAAGATTAGCTTCGGTAGTTAAAGAAGTTTCTTAATTTATTAAATCTAAATCTTGAAATTAATATAATTTTTTTTTAAACTCAACGATATAGAGATATGTTTTTAAAATTATCTAAAAAGAAATTTATTTTTACACAATGGTATCCTTCCTTTCACGTTGTAGACGAACATAGGAATTGGGATAGGTTTAGCCCCTTATTCGAGCGTTGCTTTCAAGTTTTACCTATTCAAACTCATCATTTATGTCTTTTTGGTGCATTTATTAAAATTCATTTTTGTTAGTGGTAACTTGAGTTATTGGCTTCAAGATTATCCACTATTAAATATTCTATGTAATTAAATTGAGTTATATGGATTAATTAACTCATAGTGAAAAACAATATAAAAAACATAGAACATAAAAAAACGTAGCACATCAAATACCGAATAAATTTGAACGGATTATCCGATTTAAGTTTTTCCTACTACATTGTGTTAACTCAATTACAAAAAAGAATATGAATTGTAGATTCATGTATGTTTATTCATTATATGAATGGTACATTCATGTAAATAGGCATTTAGACTAAATTAAAAGTCGAGTCTAACTAGGTAGTTCATATTTTTTTTCTTCTAAATTGTCTTTTTAGATTTTTGTTTGTCTTTTTGATTCAAAAACTCATCAGTAAAAACCCTCATGTCGATCAAGAATTGAGGATGTAATCTATTTGTGATGTAATTTTCTATTTCTTGCTCTTTTAACCTCTCTTTTGTGCCAAAAAAAAAAAAAAGAGTAAATTTAATTAACCGATGAATTATTATTATTTCTATGAGGAAGCAAATATCTCTAATGTACTCACCCTCTAATCCAGGTAATTTGAACTTGGGACGTGTATGTGCCTCGATGTACCACACTCTTGAACTACTGTTCTGATTCGATTTGGTCTTAATTTGCGAAAAATTTCATTTTATATTTTATTATTATACATTATTGACAAGTAAATTTTATTTTCATTAGAAATTATGTATATTATGTCTTTGAAAGCAGATACACACACGTCAATAGAAGGCTAGTTAAATCTTGTCTCATATGGTATCCATTAATTGCTCACACACATTTTTTGCAGAAACTGATTGCCTTGGGTGAGCAGCATGAAAAAAGAGATCAATGATATAACTGTGAAAGAAGAAGAGGAGAAGTTGGCGCTCAAGAAGCAAGTGGTAATGCTTACTTATGAACATTCTATTCTGGTTAGATAATTAATATAAAATCATTCATGATGGTTCATTTTAGGGATTGAATTTTTAGACTGAAATGATTATTTAATATGATATTAGAGATTTTTTTACTAAAGTATTGTGTAACTTTCAAAATTACAAGAATTTTCATTTAAAAGAATGTATTAAAGAATTGATACAAAATCATTTTGTAATTTCACATAACAATTTAAATTTTAATGTTAAAATGATATTTAGACAATTATATATAATGTCCTACCATTCTATCTCTTTTTTATGGTCACATTATCAATATATTCTAACAATTTTATGATCAATATTTGTTCACAGTGCAACTTGCACGAGACATTTGTCGCTGCTGGAAACAACATCTCCAGCTTGGATAAAGCAATTGCCGCAATTGCTTATCAAAATGACAATTACAACCTAAGCAACACAATTGTCATAGTTCAAAACAACATTTACAACCTGAACACGATACTTGTCACTGCTCAAAACAACTTGAACGAGGCATTTGCCACCACGGCAGCTCAAAACACGTAATTAGTTCAATCTTTCCTTATATAATTGGTTAAGCATTTCATGATGTGAAATCATACGAGAAAATATGTATTGTTTGTTTCTGTTTGTTTTGTGTGCGTTTGTGGCTATCCATGAATGATATTATCATGGATCAAAATTTCTAGATCCAGCATTGGATATATTGCAATTTACCGTACTTATTTTATTTATTGGTTCAAACTATTTATGGCCAATATGGTCATTGAAAATGAAATTTTTCTACACAAGTGGATATCCTTTATGGACATGGTGCATGCCTAAACTATGATGGTGAGATAGCATTGATTTTCAAAATTATGCTAATTCCTTCTCTCTTTGGCAGCAAAAGAATTTGATATGAAGCTTCCTCATCCCCTACTAATTCTCTAGGAATTATGGCACTCGGGGGCGATGGAAATCTTGTGGTTTTGGATGCAACAAGGAACATTGTTTAGTCGTCAAATGTAAAGGTTGCTGATTCGGCTAATGGATCATGGAAACCTTGTTTTGAGAAGTGGTGAAACCATCTTCTGGCAGAGCTTTGACCATCCCTCGTATACCTTCAAAGTTGGCTATAATCGCAAAACTAGCCGAAGAAGGCTGCTTACATCATGGAAGATCCACAGCTACGAATGTTCTCTTTCAGCACAGACACAGGGAAGGTCATGAATCCCTACTCAGTCTAACCAATACCTATTAAAAATATTTAATAAAAATTGAAGTGGATAAAAATAAAACAAAATACATATTTATAAATGTAGTTTTTTTTTTTTTTTTTTGGGTGCCTACTTTATATTCTATTACCCAATATTTTATCTAAAAAAATAAATTAACATGCAGAAACTTGATTGCACAAATTTTGTAAATCTCGATCGACTCGGAAATGTAAATGCAAGAAAGTAGTATGGAGTGGAGGCTAAATATGGGGCTTGATGATTAGTACATGAGCTTTGAGATGATAGTTAGGCCCAACCCTCTGGATACCCGTTCGAAAACAGCCATGTTCTTACCCAACTCGACAATGGACGGGAATGAGGTGGCTTCCATGCCCACAACCCCTGCCCACCTTTCTCTCAACCTCTCCGACTTAACTAATTAAATATTATCTTTTTGTTTTGTTTTTATTGTTATATTATTATATTCGTATTTTTAAATTATTTTATTTGCATCACCCATAGCAACTTTTAATAAATGTATAGCACCTAAAATAGAATTTTAGGATATAAACTTAGACAGAGATTGGTTACAAATCAAGTTACTAACAAAAACACCTAAAATAAATAGAATGTTCACTATTCACATGCTATTCATCGAAATTCATTTTATTATATATTATATATTTATCTACATTTATAAGTATTATTCCTTTAATGTTTTTGTATTCAATAGTATTATTGTGATTTTCCATATTTTTTCAGGTATTTAATAAGGTATTTTTGTGAAGTGTAAATGTTAGGCAATTAGAAGACCCCACTGTTCGCCGCACAAAATCCAACATACTTTTCATGCTTGGAACTGAAACTCCTGCTGTTCCAGATCCAAAGCAACCTGCATTTGTCGTTAGGCGATGCCAATCTAGCAGAGCTTAAACCAGACACAGTATCCCATAATGGGTTAACAGTCACTCTAGAAGATGGCAGATAGAAGAGTAGTTACTAATTAATAGGCTTTCTTGTCCTGTTTTTTTTTTCCCTGCTAAGAATGTTTTTCTGTTGGCACATTGTGTGTGTTTCTCTTTTTATTCTTACTTAAATGTACAGTGTCATTGATTTCAGGATTGCTAGTAGCTTTCCATCTATTTTAATCAATTTTATTCTGTTCTCTTGTCTGAAAACTGAACATATTATTCCTTGTCAGGATACGAATATGTAGGTCCTAAGTATTTGTCTCGGTATTAGTAGTCGAAATATGCTAGTATATTATCTGGTGTTGCCACGGGTAAGTCTGCAACTTTTAGCGACCATTTTGTTGCTGGTAAAAATGGAAGCGGTTGTTTTTAGCCCTCTACAGTCAATTTTTACACTATTTTCATCTAAAAACACCCTAAGATAATTATAAAAACATGTAAAAAATCATTTTGAATCTCAAAACAAGCTCTAGTGCACCCTAGAAATCTAAAAAAAAGAAAAACCAAACCCTCCTCTCTTTCCTACCTTCTTTCTCCTCCCTCTACTTTCAGGAATCTTGTTAATAAAGTTTAGGGACTCTTTCATATAAAGTATAACTTCAAGGACTAAAGAGTTAAAAAAATCATAAAATTTCTAAAAAATCACTCAAATTTCTTTTTAGGAAAAACTTGTAGTTCCAAGCCAAAAAGACCTAAACCGACATAGTTTTATGTATTGTAACAAAAAACTTAACTATCGTAGAACACTGTTTCTTTTTGGTATATATTAGCTCAATACCCACACGTTATCGCAAATAAATCTATTATATAATATATTTTAATATTTTAAATAATTTTAAAATATAAGCATAAAATAAAAATTAATTAACATTAATTATAAAAAATTATTTAATTTAATATTTATTATGCAAATTCAGCACAAATTAATCCTCTCTACAACCAAGCCTAGGAAATTCCTATTATAATTTAATATTTATTATGCTATCAAGCCAGGCCTATCTTTGTTGTTCTTCTTCTTTTTTATGCTTTTTTCTAGAGGAGAAAAAATGGAGTGATGGCAATATTATATAATAAAATACAAAATTTTTTTCTTAATTCAACTAGAAGATACACATCAAAATATCAAGGTAATCACCCCAATGACAAAAGTCATCTTCCTAAATAGGATTCCAACTACAATAAAATAAATAAATAAATAAATAAAATTAAGAGATGTCATCGAATAGATTTTTTAAATTATCCAAAATAAAGGCTTTTTAATTATCAATAAAATTCAAGTTGAAGAACAAAAAATTGGCAATAATATATCACAATTTCATTCCGATCGAATTTCAAATCATCACTTGATCGAGGCAAGAAATATAAAGTAGTGTACTTTTTTTTCTCTCTCTCAAACTCTCGACTAAACTCTTAATGCTTGTTTAGTAACAAAAATTTATTTTTTTTCTTGTTCCAATAAAAATTAGAAAAGTGATCATTTTAAAAAAAATAAAAAAGAATTTTTCCATAAAAAAAAGAAATAAGTAAAATCTATATCTAGTTTTCATCAAAAACCAAAATTCATATTTGTCATCTTGATATATAACTTTTAATTGTGATAATCTAATTATAAAATATTAATTCTATGTAATTCAAATTAAAAATTATTACAAAAAATTTACACTTGTTAACTAAAAAAAAGCTTTTATATTAGATTTATTATAAAAAATAAAATTATGACACTAAAGAAATATGAAAATGTATGAAAAAAAAATTAATGTATATATATATATATATATATATATATGGTATTGTTCATCATTTTATTTTTTTTATTTGGAAAAAAATGAAAAACTTATAACGAAAAACTGTTAACAATCTCAATTTTTGAGAAAATTTAATGTTTTTGTTTTTCTGACTCCAATTTTCCTGAAAATTGGAATCTTACTATGTTGCTAAACGGCACCTCCTCTCTCTCTCTATATATATGTATTGTGGATTGGCATGTCATTCGTGGAAAATCAAAACAATGAGAGGGTATAATGATCAATTTATCAAATGATGACGGTACCTTAGAGATCACAAGTACCCACTACAGGTTAAAAAGACAGGGATGGTGTGATAGTGGCACTAAATTAACTGATGGAATGCAATAGGGTACTTTTTTCAGATATAAATATGCAAACAAACTCTTAACCCCTGATGCACCCTCTCTCTTTTCTCTCTCAAAATGAGACAAAGCCATGCTGGTTTTATATTAAGTCTCTCGTGTAACTTTTAGCTTAGTTTTGTTTTTTTTTTTTAAATATCTATATACATGGGTTTTGGGCTCGAAGAACCCAACCAACGATAAAAAAAAATATAGTAGCTAGATTCCAAGATTCAAAGCATGAAACTATTCCTTTTTTTTTTTTTGTTAAATCTTCCTTCTTCCTGGTGGTCTTTTTCACTGTATTCTATCTCTACTTTGGATAGAAGCTTAAAATAAAAAAAAAAAAAAAAAAAAAAAAAAAAAGGGTCTTTTTCAACTATAATAAAAAAAAAAATCGAGAGATCTCATCAAATTGGTTTTTTTTTTTTTAATTATTCAAAGATAGAAGCTTTTTGATTATCAATACAATTCAAGTTGAAGAACAAAAAATTAATAACAATATATCAAAATTTTATCTCGATCCAATTTCGGATCATCTCGTGATCAAGACAAGAAATATAAACTAGTACATGTCATAATCCCGGGAGTGGACCATGACCGGCAAGAGGATCGAGAGAGCTATGCGGCTCGCCTCTACCCAAGCAAGCCTCGGATGCTAATCTACAATCCTCGGATCGTTATATATATCATTTCAATTCAAATATCATTTCAATTAATATTACTTACAACCTCAATACACTTTATAACACAATATTATCCTTGCATTTCTCCAAATCAATATTCATAATTAGTCTCTAACATAATATCGACATATATAACTACGAGTTTCTAAAAATACAACAAATTAAAACATACATAAGTTCTAGGGAATTATAATTAAGGTAAGTTACGCGACCAAAGTGCTAACTTCATGAAAAGTAGCCAAAAAGAAACAATAAGGTAATCCCTCAATATCTTGCAAAACTGAAATAATGAGGGGTAAAAAATCAACGAACTTAGCGAGTAAACGTTATTTATCATACTAAGGGAGGAAAACAAACTAAAGACGATACTTTCAAATTTATCTCAAAATGCAATTCTTATTTTTTTCAAAACACATGCATATCGTGAAACACAATATACATCACAAATCAAATAGTTCAAAACCTTTTTGTATCAAATCATCAAACACTTATCATATGTATATATATCATATTCATATGAAATCTCATATATAGGTTTTTATACACCTATGAGGTAATAATATATCATTGGGTGCGAACACCAAAAGGTCACCCTCCCCCCTTCGTGACTAGGTTTTCGTATTTTGATCGATACACGAGCTAGCACTCTACCTCTTCTCGCTAGTCGGAGTCTTGTATCATTGAGCTCAAAGGCTACCCCCTCCGTGGCTAGCCCTAGGGTCTCGAAAAAATTTTCAAAAACCAAACATACTTATACATTTTTCAAATCGACATTTCAAATACCATGCATGTATTTTTAGAAATTATAAGTATGATCAAAATATCAACTTATGAAAAAATTCATATTCAAAATTGCACATCATGATATTTGCTCAAACACATATTCAACCCTCTCGTTCCAATTCATATTAAATCATTTTAAAATTCATGAAGTTTATTCCCACCTAAGTTCTAATGGAATGCTTCTAAATTATTCATAAATCAATGATGTATGATGGATACAATCCAAGAAATTTAAAACACAATACATTATATAATATCCACTCACAATACAATAAAGAGTTGAAAGGATCTGAACGTGTCAAGGTTGTTGAGAAAGAGTCTGCCCATTTCGAAGAATCTAATAATACATAATGATGGACAACCATCAATATCATATATTAAATAATAATCCAAAAACAATTGAATTATTCGAGAATAAAAAATTCAAGATTATCAACGTAAATGGAATTGAATAAAAAGACTTAAACCAATAACTTTAACTAGACTCTATGATCTCTCGTAGCAATTCTAAATAATTACCTAACCATATCCCATTATTACCATTTCTTAATTCAATCATAATTTCCAATTCAACCTTCAATTAATCAACTTTCAATTAAATAATTAATTCCATCCCAATTCATCCAATACTCATTCTATTTACCTTTAATTGTATTTATATAACTTAATTCCTCATTTTTCTCAAATTTCTTTCAATTAACCTAAATTCGATTTTCACTATTCATCATCTTCGACCTTTCAATTTCTCAAATTTACTTAATTTCACTTCAAATTAACTCCTTAATTCACTTACCTAAAATACTTCAACATCATTCAAGTAACTATAATCACTTAGAATCATCTTTTTCTAAATGGGTTTTAAAACTCGACCTTATTCTAATCAATTCCTCAAGTAATCAACAAAACCCATGCAATTCAAGTTCAATATCATCATTAACCTCACATAGCATCTTAATTCAAAGATCAATGGGTTCAAATTCTTACTTTTACATTTAGCTCTTCAAATCCCAAATCAATCTTAGCTCACCAAGCTTCCCAAGCTTCAATTTAGCTAAGTTTCAATTAGTCAATTAGTTTAAGGTTTTTCTAAGCTAATTTAACAAGATTTTAGCTTAGAAATTGAAAAGAGAAATGGAAGGAAATTTCTAGAGAGAAAATGGCGTGGGAGAGGAGAAAGAAGAAAAAAAAAGTGGAGGGGTAGCAACTCGCCCCTCCTTTTATACCCATCCCTTTATTTTTTTTCAAGTTATTACGGTATACTTCCCTTCTTCTCTCTCTCTCTCTCTCAAACTCTTTGCGAAACTCTTAATGCTTGTTTAGTAACAAAAAATATTTTATAAATTTTATTTTTTTCCAACAAAAAAATTAGAAAATGCGCTCATTTGTTGAAAATAAAAAAATGCATAAACAAATAAGAAATAAGTCAAATTTATTTTTTTTCATACAAAAAAAAACCATAATTTATAATTGTCATCTTGATATTTTTTTAATTGTGATAATCTAATTATAAAAATATTAATTTGAAGCCTTTTCAATTTAAAATTATTATGAAAAAGTTATAATTGTTTGCTCAAAAATGAAACTATGTGATATTAGATTTATTAATAAAAATAAATAAATTTATGATACTAACAAAAAATTAAAATGTAATTAAGAAAAAAGAGTAATGTTTTACATTTCTAAAAAGTGCTTCTATGTAAAAGGAAAATATTGTATTGTTCATGATTTTAGTTTTTTGATTTGGAAAACAAATGAAAAAATTATAGAGAAAAACTGTTGGCAATCTCAATTTTTGAGAAAATTTAATTTTTTTGCCTTCTTCTGACTCCAATTTTCCTGAAAATTGGAGTCTTACTATGTTACTAAGCAGGCCCCTCACCCTCCCTCATTTTTTTTTTATAAAGCTGCATGCTGCACATGAGTAAATTATTATTAGTTCCTATATTTTTGAGAAATAAATAAATTAATTTTCTAGTTTCAAAAGCTAATTATTTAATTATTTTAACTAGTGTTAACTATGATTAATTTAATTTTTTTTTATTTTGTAATATGCATCCTCTTCTCATCAGTCTTTCTATAATTTTTACTTTTTTTCTTTTCTATTTTCTAAAAAAAATTAAAAAAATTAAAAATAATAAAAAGAATTAAATGATTGGATTTCGAAACTAAAGATATTAATTAATTTATTTCTAGAGATGAGAGGGACTAATATATAATTTACTCTGCTGCAAACACTACCTTTTCTCTCTCAAAATGAGACAAAGCCAAGTTGGCTTTATATTAAGTCACTCACGTAACATTTAGCGGGCAAATTACAAATTAGTTCCTTTAATTTAAAAAAAAGAATTACATCATCCTTTTTGTTTCAAAAATTATCATTTAATTTTTTAGTTAGTATTGATCATGTTTAATTTAATATTATTTTTATTTCTTAAAATTTCTTTTTTTTCTTATCAATATTTCTGTATTTTTTAAATAAAAAATCAAAATAAATTAAAATGAGTAAAAGGAATACAAGTAGATTTTAAAAATCTAAAGAATAAACAACTAGTTTTTGAAATGAAAAAGGCTAATTAATTTTTTTTTCAAAATGAGAGAGAATAATTTATAAGTTATCCAACTTTTAGCTTTTTTTTTTAAAAAAATATTTATATCTATGGATTTTGGGCTCGAAGGAATCCAACCAACAATAAAAAAAAATAGTAGATTCCAAGATTCCAAGCATGGTGTTCTGGAAGGATGAAGTCTCTGTACGTACTCCAATGCTTCACAACATTATCATGTATATTAGATTTTTCACAGGGAGAAGAAGCCATGACATGAGTGTGTTTGCTATAACTTCATTCAAGGTTTGGATGCTGTTATTGACTAGAATGATTCTTCACCAAAATTGAAAATGTTTGGATCCAAGTTGGGATAAATGAAAATAAATGGCTGAATTTTTTACCGATTAAATTATAAATTAATCCTTTTTAGTTTCTAGAAACAAAATAATTAGTTTTTTTAAAACTAATTATTTAGTTATTTAACAATACTAACTATGTTTAATTGAATATTATTTTATTTTAAAAAGGTTTTTTTTATCAATATTTTCATAATATCTATTTATTTTAAAAAATAAATTAAAAAGAACAAAAATTAAACAAAAAAACTAAATAACTAGTTTTTAAAACAGAAAGGACTAATTAATTCGTTTCTATAAACTAAGGAGACTTATTTGTAATTTACTCAATCTTTTTAAACCGCGATATCGTTAACACCATAGCCATAGCCATCACGTTGACTAAAATATACCCACCCTCTCTCTCGGTCTCTCTCTTACCCACACAGAGACTCCCTCTCCCCCACACTCCCAAAAACAAAATCTGCAGGAGGTTGGAAATTATATCTTTTTTCTTTATCTGATGCACAATTTTTTTCATTTTAGAGTGAACTTTAGTAATCTTTTACTTTCGTTCTTTGCTTCTATTTTCGTTTTGTAGATGGCAAGCACTTCGGGGGAGAAAGATCCGACCCTTACCGGTAAGTTTATTGCAAATAATTGTGGTTGTCGTTAGTATTTTTCACTTCATAAGTCTACCTAAATTTTATAGCGATTGTATTTTGTGCTTGTTTTTTTTGTCTGAGAATTTTTTTTTTAGTACTGTATTTGCACTATTATTTGATGTTAATGGGCTCACATAATAATAATAATAATAATAATAATAATAATAATTGGATGGCTAGAAGGGGCTAACCATCTTTGAACTTTAAATTATTTGAAATTAAAATCTCGAATTTTTTTATTGCTTTTTGGAATTCTTAAATTTTTTTTTTCAGATTTAACCCATTTTTCAGTTTTATGTCACTTATCTCAAAAAATAACAATCACATAAATAGTTCATAATAAAATTCATTCAGTGAGATTTATGTAGAGCCTTTCAAAAAATTTGGAATCATTTTGGAGTTATTTTTTATATTTTTCTGATTTTATATTTTTAATGTTTAAAAAATCAACAGATATAGTTTTTGATTTTAAAAAATGCTGGACTTTTTCTACAAAATGAATTGAATTTTTTTCAACATGTGTGCAAAATTTCAGCTCAAAATATCAAAAATTAAATTTTTTAGAAAGGAAGATGTTAGCTGAAAAATTATTGAATGGATTAAATTTTAAAAAATTAAAAATTCAAGAATTCCTGGAACTAATAAAATTTTTTTTTTACTCTTTTAGCCTAATTGGATTACTAGTATTACATTTATTTATGAGACCCAAAATCTTGTCTTAAAATTAATTTATCAAATAGCAAATAACCATGCATATAGAAAAAACAATGGAGCTATTTAATTCAAAATTAAGCAAAAATTGTTAGAAAATAATATAAATCATATCTTGGAATCTCATCTAACAATTTAAGCTTTTAGGTGAGATGATCTTTTAAAATGGTATCGAGTCTTACTAATCAAACTCATCTAACAATGTAATCTTTTCAGTGGAATGGTCCTTCAACAAAAACAGCTCTTCAACCTTCCAAAACAAAAAACCTGAATAATTGCATTGCATGAGCTGATGCCTGTGGGTTCTATTCTATGATAGGCCTCAGTTCATCAGGAAGAAATGAATTGTAAATGGGCTAATGATTGCAGGATTTTTTATTTATTTATTTATTTTTTTGTTTAGATAGTGTCTCTTTGCTTTTTTTTTTTTTTTTTCTTTTCATCAGGAAAAAAACCTAAGATAAGCAAACAGGAGATCGACAGAGCTTACCGTGCAAGAAAAAAGGTATGTAGCAAGCCAAATATCTCTCTCTAGTACGCTACTTCGTGTTACTTGCTTCTTTATTTGTTTGTTTGTTCTTGCTTTCACATCATAAATAACTCACTCATGTTCATTTCTTTTTGCTATCTACTCTGCAGGGAAAAGAAGACAGCATGAAGGCAAAGATAGTAATACTTGAGGAAAACAAATGTCGCCTTGAAGGACGAGCAGATCAGCTGGAAAAGGATCTAAAAGAAAGTAGAAAGGAAAATATCCGCTTGGAGGTCCATCAAGAGAGACAGAATAAACGTCAAAAGAAACTCGAAAGGGTAAGCTTTTCTTTCCGATCCATACATCCACTATACAAAAAGGAATTGAGGAAGTAATCTATTTCCAATGTCATTTTCTGTTTCTTGGGCCTTGAATCCCTTTTTGTACCAAAAAAAGAAAAATGAAGAGTTATTATTATTATTTTTCCCGTGAGGAAGTAAATGTATATCTCTAATGTACTCAACCTCTAATTCACTCTATGTACCACACTCTTTGAACTTCTTTTCTGATTCCATTTGGTCTCAATTTGTGGAACTTTTCTAGTAAATTCTATTCTTACCATACTTGCACGCACGCATGCATATATATATATATATATATATATATATAGACTCATAAGCACACACACGTCAAATATAATTCTAATTAAATCTTTTCTCATATAGTATCCATTAATTACTTAAACACACTTTTTGCAGAACCTGATTGCCTTAGGGGAGCAATATAAAAGAGAGATGGACGCCATAAAAGAAACACATGCAGAGGAGATAAATGCCTTAAAAGAAAGAAATGCAGAAGAGGTGAATGCTTCAAAAGAAAGAAATGCAGAGGAGATGTTGGCGCTCAAGAAGCAGTTGGTAATGCAGTACTTTAAAAACTCTCTTCCGTTTACTTATGAACATTCTATTATTCTAATCTAGATTGAGATGATTATTTAATATAGTATTATACTTTTTAACCAAAGTATTGGGCAAAGATCAAACTTAAAGAATTTCTATTTGAAAGCATGTTGGAGAATGAATATAAAACCATTTCTGTAGCCTCATATAGCGGTGTAAATTTTTAAGTTGAGATGTTTTTTAAACAAATATATATAATGTCCTATCATTCTATCTCTTTTTTATGGTCAGATTATCAATATTTTCTAACAATTTTATGATCATTATTTGTTTACAGCATACCTTGAAAGAGGCATTTGCCACTACTCAGAACAATAATTACAGCTTGAATGAGGTAGTTTTCACAGCTCAAAACAACAATTACAACTTGAATGAGACACTTGCCACAATTGCGGCTCAAAACAATGATTACAGTTTGAAGGAGAGACTTGTTACAGCTCAAAACAACATTTACAACCCGAACGAGGTACTTGGCACAGCTCAAAACATCAATTACAGCTTGAGCTTGAATGAGGCACTTGCCACAATGGCAGATCAAAACAACAATTGTTTTCTCAAATACGATAGGTAAATAGCTTAATCTATCTTTATATAATTGATCAAGTCTTTAATTTTTCTTTTTATTTTTAATTGTATCTATTATATTTATGTATAATATCTAATTCTCCAAGTATGTCATTCTATCAACTTTTTCTATCCAAATTGACATAATTATATTTTTCAATTTAAAACTAACATTCAGCTATCCACGAATATAATTTTGACTTTTTTGAAAAAATTAAAATTTTTATTTTATAAAAATTTTAATGGTTGATTAATCTTGAAACTTAATTATTTCTTGAAATGTTTTGAGCAATTTTGGAAGGAAAATTACAATTTTGTCAATTTGAATGAAAAAATTTGATTGAATGACATTGGAGAATTAAATACAATACATAGACATAATAGACACAATTATATATATATATATATATATATATATATATATATATATATAGACTTGTCTAATTATATAAAGATATATTAAGCTATTACCTATATATGGTTAATCTTTCAATGAAAGAGCCTTTTGGAGATGATTTATTCAGTGATTGCTTCATTGCATTTCAGAATTTGTGTTTGTCAAATATGTTGACAGAAGTTGGTGCCTTTTGGTTTGCTCTCTTGTTAAGGACGGAGAAAATATGTATTTCATGATGTGAAATCATAAGAGAAAACTAGTTTTCTCAACGAGTTACAAAATTTATGAATTTGTCTTCTTCTTCTTTTTTTTGTGTGTGCGTGTGTTTGTGGGCATCCATTAATGATATTATCATGGAGCAAAATTTCTAGGTCCGTCACTCGATATATGACTATTACCCTTCTTATTTTCTTTATTGGTTCAAATTTTTATGGCCAATATGGTAATTGAAACTGAGATTTTTTTACACAATGGTTATCTTTTATAGACATGGTGCATGCCTAGAATATGACAAGTATAGAGTTAAATAGTTGAGATTGAGTTTCATCGAAAAAACTTAAGAGATGATTGTCAATATCTGAAATTAAGTTTTATTTGAAAGGCTTAAATCTTATGACGGATGGTCTTTTCTCAATTTTGTGTCACTTATCTTTTGTTTAATTATTCAATTTGAGATATGTATTCTAACAAAAGATGAGCTAGTAGTGATTTTAAAAATTATGGCAACTCCTCTCTTTCTCAGCAAAAGAAGTTGATTTGAAGCCTTTTCAATCGCAGCAAACAGCTCTTAAAGTCATTCTTTCAATCTTACATACTCATAAAGGGGTTCTGTGTTTTGCTGCTTTTTAAGTCAATCTCATCTTTGCTATCGCCAATAGGTGCAAATGAATGGATTACTATTCCACGAAATTATATCTTGGCTTAGGGAAATTCAACTCCAAGGTACTATCTTGGCATTTGGTATAGCAAAATTCAGAATACGACTGTTAATGTCTGGGTCGCCATCAGAGAATCCCCTACTAAATTCTCTAGGAATTTTGGCACTCGGGTGCGATGGAAATCTTGTGGTTTTGGATGCAACGAGGAACGTTGTTTAGTCATCAAATGTAAAGGTCGCCGATTCGGCTATGAACAGCATAATGGGTGTGCTAATGGATAATGGAAACCTTGTCTTGAGAAGTGGTGAAACCATCTTGTGGCAGAGCTTTGACCATCCCTCGGATACCTTCTTACCTGGCATGAAAGTTGGCCATAATCGCAAAACTAGCCAAAGAAGGCAGCTTACATCATGGATAGACGCTGAAGATCCACAGCAGGAATATGTTTTCTCAACGGACAAGATATGAAGTGAGTACGTATTCTATACAACCTAAAAAATACCTATTAAAAATATTTAATAGACATTGAAGTGGATTGAAAAAAAAAATTACTTATCTATTAATATAATTTTCCGATTTAGATACCTACTAATATCTTATTAAGCACTTGTTTTTTTTTTAAAAAAAAAATTGAACAAACATGAATTTGATTGCACAAATTTGATAAAATACAGACCTAAATGCTTTTTATAAAACTTTGAGTATCAAAAACTTATAAATAAAGGACTAAATTGAAAAACAAATTTAAGGAACAAAATAATGTTTTGGAATTAGGGACTAAAATGAAACATGTCAGAGGCAGAAGTTGTTGACATTTGACAGGGATTATGGGTTCTTAAAGTTTGTGAATATAAAACTACCAAATCATTCTTCACTCTATTATATATAACTCACTCATGTCATCCATTTTTTTTTTCTTTTCTATTTTTATCTGACTGTCAACGATTTACACATCAACTAACGCTAAGTTTTTTCTCTGATTTTTTTTATTCTTTTTATTTATTTTTATTTTTTATTTTTTTTGCGAATCTGACTGTCACATTGATTTAATACATGTAGCTGAATAAATTCTTTTAAAATTTCAATTAAAAAATTATGGGAGAGAACAAACGGTCTCTTTTACTATCAAGTTAATCCGAATTTACAATTTCTTAATTCTTCCCATTCTTTCTCAAATTTATGACCCTATTTGTCCTTATTGTACTACTACTATATATTTTTTTAATTAAATGCCTTTGCCATAAAATTTTTAATTTCTTGTAATACTAAAAGTGAATTAAATTTCAAGAAAATATTAAATTAAAAAAGTATTATTATAGTATAATTATGTTTCAGTTCATTAACTATAATTTTTCTTGAAAAAATACATTCTATTTTCTGGAAAAAATAAAAAAATTCAAAATTGAAAAGTATATTTGTTTATTTTTTAAAAATTAAAAATTGAGAAAAATAAAAAAATAATCCAAAATGATCTCAAATTTTGTGAAGAATTCAAATAAATCTTACTGAATGATTTTTTATTTATCATAAATCTACTTATGTAATCATTATTTTTTTGAGATAAATGTTAGATAACTAAAAAATGACTTAAATCTAAAAAAAAATAAAGTTCAGAAAGATCGGTATGTAACTAGCCAAGTCCATCTCTCTTAGTGCTCCTTCGTGTTACTTGCCTCTTTATTTGTTTGTTTGTTTTCACATGCTCATATTCATTTCTTCTTTCTCTCTACTCTGCAGGGAATAGAAAACAGCATGAAGGCAAAGATACTAATACTTGAGGAAAACAAAGGTCGCCTTGAAGGGCGAGCAGATCAGTTGGAAAAGGATCTAAAAGAAACTAGAAAAGAAAATATCCGCTTGGAGGTCCATCAAGAGAGACAGAATAAACTTCAAAAGAAACTCGAAAGGGTAAGCTTTTCCTTCCATACATCCACCGTACAAAAAGGAATCGAGAAAGTAATCTATTTCCAATGTAATTTTCTGTTTCTTCGGCTTTGAACCCCTTTTTATTCCATATATATATATATATATATATGAAGAAGTATTATTATTATTATTATTATATCCGTGAGCAACCAAGTATCTCTAATGTACTCAACCTCTAATTCACTCTACGCACCACACTCTTTGAACCACGTTTCTGATTCCATTTGGTCTCAATTCGTGGAACTTTTATAGTAAATTCTATTCTTCCCATACTTGCATGCATGCATATATATGCATAGGAGATGAATGCCTTACAAGAAAGAAATGCAGAGGAGATGTTGGCGCTCAAGAAGCAGCTGGTAATGCAGTACTATAAAAACTCTCTTTCGTTTACTTATGAACATTCTATATTCTAATCTAGATTGAGATGATTATTTAATATAGTATTATACTTCTTAACCAAAGTGTTGGGCAAAGATCGAACTTAAAGAATTTTTTTTAAAAAGATTTTTTTTAAAAAAAGATGTATTGGAGAATGAATGTAAAACCATTTCTGTAACCTCAGAAACTTTTAGGTTGAGATATTTTTTAAACAATTAATTACATATAATGTCCTATCATTCTATCTCTTTTTTTATTGTCAGATTACCAATATTTTCTAACAATTTTATGATCATTATTTGCTTACAGTGCATCAAGTCTGCAATTTATCAAGATTGCAATCTCTTGATCTCAGGTCTGATGACGGGGATATCATTTTTGAAAACCTTCTTTGACTTTCCCAACTTTCTTCTTTAATGAATCTTGACCTGACTGGAAATAACCTGAGTCAAGAATTAACGACATGGGAGATGAGTTATTCAGTGATTGCTTCATTGCATTTCAGAAAATTTTGTGTAAAATATGTTGACAGAAGTTGGTGTTTTGGTTTGTTCTCTCGTTAAGGACAGAGAAAATAAGTATTTCATGATGTGAAATCATATGCGAAAACTTGTATTCTCAGCAAGAATTACAAAATGCATGAATTTGTATTATAGAAAGTATTGTTTATTTTTATTTTGTTTTGCGTGTATGTTTTTATGGCCATCCATTAATGATATTGTGGTGGATCAAAACTTCTAGATCCAGCATTGGATGTATGACATTTACCATACTTATTTTATTTATTGATTCAAACTATCTGTGGGCATTGAAAATGAATTTTTTCTACACAGTGGTTATCCTTTATGGACATGGTGCGTGCCTAAACTATGATGGTGAGATGACATTGATTTTCTAAATTATCGCAACTCCTCATCTCTTTGGCATTAAAAGAAGGTGATTTGAAGCCTTTTCAATTGCAGCAACCTGCTCTTAAAGTCATTCTTTTAGATAGAAAATCTATGAAAAAATAAACCTTTAATTTAAGAATCAATTCATAAAAAAGAATAAATCATTTTTTTTAGATAGAAAATTTATGAAAAATTAAAAATTTTAATTAAATATAATTTTTTAATTAAAAAATAATAAAATTTTGAAATGATTTTTTTCTACTTGACTTATAGTATAGTACAAACAACCGACTAGTTATTTAATATAATTTGGCCTCCTTAAACTAATTAAAATTGATTCCATCATTCAATCGAGAAACTAGTGATCCCACACATCTTTTTTTTTATCCAATCGAGAGGCTAGTGAGTCCACGAATCTATTGTTGATATTCAATTAATACAATAATAATATAAGTAATTAAAATGGAAGGGTGTTTTAGTTAAGTTTCTATTATAGTGAATAAAACAACGCAATTTTAGGTTTTTTGGGTTTGAAACAACGTTGTTTTTTTTCTAAAAAATTTAAGTGATTTTATGAAAAAATATGTATTTTTTACACTTTGATCCTTAGAGTTATATTTTTGTATAAATCAATCCCTAAATTGTATTTGTGTTGCAATAAAGTCCTTGAATGTTGAGGGAGGGAAGAGAAAGCCTGAAAGAGAAGAGGGCTTGCTTTTTTGGACTTCTAGAGTGCATTAAACCTATTTTGAGATTCAGAAGGGTTTTTTTTTTTTTTTTTTTACATGTTTTAAAGATAATTTTAGGGTTTTTGTGGGTGAAAAGAGTGCAGAAATTGGGAAATTGGGTCTAGAGAGCCAAAAATAATGGCCTTCCTTTTTTTTTTTTTTTTTTTTTTTTTTCCTTGGCGACCAAATAATGGCCTTCAAAAGATGCGTTATCTGTTGCTGTTTTTTTTAATGGTTGGGCTACGCTTCCAGTCCAAGGGCACCCCAACCCTACCTCTCTCTCTCTCTCTCTTTTAATTTTCCTTTTTTTTTTTTTTTTTCCTCCTTGGCGACCAAATAATGGCCTTCAAAAGATGCGTTATCTGTTGCTGTTTTTTTTAATGGTTGGGCGACGCTTCCAGTCCAAGGGCACCCCAACCCTACCTCTCTCTCTCCCTCTCTTTTAATTTTCCTTTTTTTTTTCTTTTCTTTTATATTATTTATTATTTGCTCAAATATTTTTTTTAAATATTTAATAATTATTTTTTATAGTTTCATGAACTAAAATCAAACTCTCATCTAATATAAATTGATTTAGCACCATTTTATAATTTGATTTGTTTTTCAAAAAAAAAAAAAAATTGCATCTGTTTTTTACTCGATCAAAATAAAAAATATTCATTGGATATTTTTAAACTCAAGCATGAAATATAAATATTTTATTACATACTTCATAATACATATTAAATTTAAATAAAATTTTATAATTAATATTGATTAATTGTATTTTATACCTAGATTTTTTAAGTTAACTAAGATATTAAAACATATTATATAGACTTACATGCGACAATGCTCATGTACTATACTAGTAATTACAAAGCTATGATCATAATCGTTGCTTATCATTCTCCTTGGTTTTATATATTTATTTTATGTTTCCTATTTGTATATTGGTTGTATAATATCTCAAATTAATTTATTCAACTCCTACAATTAGGGGTGAACATTCGATTTTCTAGTTCGGTTTTTAACATTTCTGTTAATGAAACCCATAAAAAACGTAACCCGCACCAAATTTCTACTCAATCTTTTGGTTTTGGCTTTTTGGTGAAAATTGAATTTTCTTTTTTCAATTTTTTTTTCAATTTTTTAAATAATGTAAATTGCCAAACAAAAAAAAAGTGTGATATGAACTATGAAGTCCTTTCCTGTCCTAAATGATCTAAATTAGCCTTTATAAAATATAATAAATATTTTTTAAAAAAATAAATTGTTAACTTCATGATCCATAATAGAAATATAATCCATTTAACAAATAAAAATACATAGTTAATAGTACTAAAAAAAACACCGTATTAATTATGAATATCTTCTAACCATGATAGCCATACAAGTCAATGACCCATTACCTTCCAAGTTTTGACATTCCCTCACTACGGAAAAAACATGGGATTAGCGAGGAGGAATTAGCGACGGTCTACCAATCGTTGCTAATTTACTAAATTTGTGATGGTTTTAAGAACTTGAGTGAGGGTTTTCAAAACCGTCGCTAATTTGGTCTTAAACGATTGTTTTTAGCGACGGTTTTTAACAAACCATCGTTAAGTTAAATTTTTTAACTTGGATCATTTTTTGCGATCGTTTTTGTAAACAAAATCGTCACAAAACATGGACATTAGCAACGGTTAGGTGGACCATCGCTAATTTCATTTTCAAGCATATTAGTGACAGCTTTTTCCAAAAAAACCATTGCTAATTCCCTTTTTTTTAAAAAATAGCCCTAACCATTTTTTGTGACGTTTTTTACAAAAAAGTCATCGAAATGAAGTAATTTAACGATGATCCACAAACCGTCTCTAAATCGTCACTTTATTTCTTCCTATTGGGATGAGTTGAAGGAGTACACTCGATAGTAGCATGCGATAATGACATAGATGCAGCAAATGTTCTTGCGAGCATTTTCATCAAGGTGGCAATTCATCCGTTGTTCTTGAGGTCGACGATGACTCCACTCAACCTCCAAATGACGATCCCGCCAATTTCTCCCAGCCTATCATGTTTTCTTGTAATAACAATAAACTTTTTATTTTTTATAATAATTTAAAAATATTTATTACATTTTAATAAATTTTATAATAAATTATGAAATTTTACAATATTATGTTTTGGGTATTTATTAGATTTTTAAATAGCAATTGGTTAATTTTAGAGATTTAAATTGAAGGTAAAAAAATATTCAAAATAATCGTTTAGCGATGAAATTAGCAACGGTTTTAATCGTTGCTAATTGTACATTTATTACGACGGAAACAAACCGTTGCTCGATTTACGATGGTCCTAGTGACGACTTCGTTTTATTGTGGTAATATTTTCTCGCTTTAGCACCATTTTCTATGACGATTTTTTTAATTTTGCAAGGATTTTATCCATCGTTAATTTAGTGACGGTCCAAAAACCATTGCAAAATTTTAGCGACCGGCATCTTACGAAAGGATTTTGTACCGTCATAAAATCGTTGCTATATTTAATTAGCGATGGTTTTTATCGGATTAGCAACGGTCCGGACCGTCGCTAATCACTTAATTTTTTGTAGTGCCTTATAGATGGTTTTATATTATTCTCTAACACACTCCCTCAAGTGAAAGTGTTTTAAGTTTAAAACTTGCACAAATCCACCATTATTTTGTGCTTAGTTAGAATAGAAAATGAGGATCGTAAGACTTGAACTTGTAACCATTTGGTCATTAAGACTTTGATAATATGCTAAAAACCATCTTGTTAAATAACATATCCCACATTGAATATTTAAAACTAAAGATGATTAATAATATAAAGTTAAAAAAGGATCGTTCAATGATTAATATATAAAGTTGAAAAGGGATGACCCATGCCTTGGGCCACCCAAGCACTATAAGGCTTGAATGATCTCTTTTCAACTTTATATATTAATTATTTAGTTTATCTTTTCAATATGAGATATGTTGAGGACATCTTCTTTTCAATTTGAGGATTCAACTAGAGAAGCCTAATACGAGAGTGGATGTCTTAAGCCATGAGCCTAAGAGTCTTGGGCCGATTTGACTTGAAGATACAGGGAGCTTGGATGTTCCTTAACATAACCTAGTTAGGTTGAAATAATTAGTCTTATTTAGTTATTTTTATGCTTTGAATTTTAGTTATTTATTTATGTCCTAATTATTTAAGGACTATTTTGTTGTTTGGATTTATTTTATATTGTCACACGGTTACCTCTCGTGCCATCATAAAAATATATATGTTCAAAAGTAGAGTTGCCACTCGGCTTTTCTAAAGATACAATTTAATAAAAACCTAGCAAACTAATCCTAGAGGTCCGCATAGAAGCGTTGGTTACATAAT